AATGAACCGAAAAGAGGGAATCAGCCAGGGGGACCTTCATGGCCCAGCGCGCTATTTTTCCCAAGTTGTGCAAACATGCTTTTTAAGGCTTCGAAATTAGAGACATCGATCCGTCCAATGATTCTTGGTTGTTTTGTCTCTTCTTGCTTTGATTCGAAATCCCCTTTTGGTTCAAAAATTACGAGCATTCACGTCCACCAAACATCCTGCAGGGTGCTCCATATCGAGAATCATGGGTCAAGAGTCAGAAGGCAATGGCAACCCATTAGTGAACTTGGCCGGTGAAAAGGGGACAAGGCAGCCAAAACATCAAGAACTTAAAGGGCGAGAATTGTTCTATAGCGTAGACCCCAAACAGGTTGCGCGAGGGACACTCTTGCGCGCCAACGAGGAGCCCGACGCTGGAGACGCTTGTACACCAACAAAGAACACTTGTGCGACGAAAAATTGACACAAACCCAAAAGAGGCGAGAAAGCAAAGAAGAAAACAACAGAAACAAGGCAAGAAGACACCAACCCCAAAAAAGCACCGCCCAGTTGGGACACGTTTCTCTGCCGGAAAAAAAGGGGGGGGGGGGAAAAAAAACGGCTGGGCACCTGCGCCAGCGCTCTGCGGGGCCTGACTCAAAGGGACTCATCCCATAGTCACCGTGGGGAGGACGGGTTTCTCTCAAAAACTGTTTACCTGAGCCTCAATCAAAACCGATTCGGGTAGATGGGTGTGCCTCAAAATGAAGCGATCGGAGGGGCAAACCGCAGGTTTTGGTCCATGTTTCCACTTACCGGGGCAAGCCATTTTGGCACCAGTTTTTTGAGCCACAGCCAGTTGAAGCTTAGTAAGGGACGATCCCCTTTCCAGAAATAGCTGCAGATATCCGGCTTCTTAATTATTGAAGCATGGTTTTTCATTCAGGGTTTTTGATTATGACTCACCTGGAGTTGAGGCTTGGAAGCCAGAAAAGGACTTGGTGAAACAAAGGAACCTGGTTCAGATTCAAATCAAGTAGGAACTGGCCAACCTCGAGGAATTCGACGGGATTAGAAACTGGAAAAACTCGAGGAGTTCGACCACCCTGAGGAACCTGGTTGAGATGTTCAGTCCAGCTTAGATCAGATGTTTAATTCATTTCAAATGTTCAGTTCAGATGTTCAGTTCAGCTCAGATGTTCTTTTCTTGCAACGCTTTGAAAGAGGAATCAAAGGTCCCCCGCGCCAGAGAATGAGCTTTTGACCACCCACCCTACCGTAGGTGGACGAATTATTCAAACCCTTGCGGTTGTAACCCCTCCCCCCCCCCCCCCCCCGGCCCCCCAATTTCAACGTTATTGCCCGTTTGGAAGGGTCAGGCTGGGTGAACAAAATCAACCCCCTATGACATGAAAAGACCTAGTGCCCAGCGTAACATTGACATTGGGGGGTATCTTGGTTGACGTTGGAAGGGGAGCAAAAAAAATAGAATTTTAGCAGTTAAGTGGTTGGATTTCAACCACTAAACCACAATAAGATCAAAAATGGGGAAAATGTGTCCCAACAACAACCATGGTTGCGCTGGAACCCGAGAGTCCGGCAGGAACGCGCCCAGGAACGCGAGCTGCGCCTCGAGGCGTGCTTCGGAAGTCCAAACTTCTCGATTCCAAGCTTCGGCTTTTTGGTCCAGGACCTTGATTTGCTTTCGGATCAACAAAAGGGGTCTCAAGTGTTTGCGGCTTTTTGTCCACAACCTTGGCATTTGTTTACCTGATCAACAAAGATTGTCTCAAGTGTTCCGACTCATGATTTAAGAAAAACAAACTAACGAGTTTGTGAAAGGAAACCCTGTGATTGCTTCATGGTGCGTGGCAGTGCGCAATGTATTTGCAATGTTGGCCCGTGAACAAACCCTGCAGGTTCCAGATGCTTCTCAGGAGGGTCCACTGGAAGAAAGGAATCCCCGCACAAAAACCGGCACCGCGTCAACAGGACATTACAGGGGGGAACTGTGCCATGGAATCGCCGAAGCAGCACAATATCAACCTGGGATCAATGCGGGGACCCTACTCAAAGGAACCCCCAAAACCGCTTCAGTTCTTTGCCGAAGGTGAACCACTCCTGACTAGTGTGGTCCGGACTACTCTGAAGTTGACGTTTTTCCCCCAGATTAAACTCCCAAGAAGGCAGTTCAGGGAGGAAACCAGAGGCACCCCCCGGCCCCTTGAAGGCTTAACAGGGGTGTCTTCCCTAGGAAAATATGGGCGTCGCTCCCTTTCGGCGAACCCCAGAAATCTGAGACCACCTTTCGTCCAGAAGCACAGAGGCCAATTTGCGTTTCGCTCGGAACAAGAAACAAAAGCTCAGTGTACTCCATGTCAGACTTGCGATGTCTTTTTTTTCACAGTTGCCATGATAGGGTTACCTTCGGCTGCCCTTATGCTAAACCAGCCGGGGGTCCGTTTCCCCGATGCCCAGCTCAGGTTGTTCACTGTTTGCTGGTGAATTGTGCACACACACACACACACGCACACATTTGCAACAAGCTTGGTGCACATATGGTCGAACGTCCTGCTTGTTTGCTACCCTTGAAGCATTCTGTTTCCCAAACTTGGTTGTGCTTCCTTTTGTGGGAATTCCCTTTCGGCGGTTGCCAAAACGAAGCTAGCATGAAACCAACCATCTTGGAGCTCCGTTGTTTCATGTGGCTGTGGGTCAAAATCCCTGGGTGATGCACCGAAAACCCCCAAAATCGGATCCCAAAACGGCTTTGACAACCACAGCCATGCTGAAACAACCCCGCTGTCTGCCAAGCAGAAAGCATCCTAGGTCCTCCAGTACAGAGTTTAGAATAATTTTTGGTACCCTTTTTTTCTGTAGTCTATTTTAGTAGGGGCACCCTCCCAACCAAAAAAAAGAAGAAACGGTCAGAAAGGGCACCTAGCTGGGGGGCCTAGACCACTAAACCCTAGATTCCTAAACCCAAGAATAGAACAGATCCACTAGACAACAGCCTAAATATACCATTTTCAAAAAAAAAAAAAAAAAAGTAAAAGGGTACTACTGGAAGGCCCCTCCCAACCAAAAAAAAGCTTGGAAAAGGGCGCTACTGGGGGACCTAGACCACTAAACCCTAGATTCCTAAACCAAACAAAATGGGTTAAGAAAGGCACTACTGACTTTTATATGGGGAAAGAATCCCCCAAAACTTTAATACGGAACCCTCCCAACCAAAAACAAGAAACGGTCAAAGTGCGCTACTGGGGGACCTAGACCACTAAACCCTAGATTCCTAAACCCAAGAAAAGAACAGATCCACTTGACAACAACCCAGATATACCATTTTCAAAAAAAAGAGTAAAGGGTACTACTGGAAGGCCCAGCCTCCCTTCTCGCCCTTCTGGGCCCGGTGCCGAGAGCAACAGCAGCGCCAGGGCGCCTGGAAAGATTCGATTCCCCTGGTACATACCGACAACTGACCATGTGGTGAAGACCCCCTGAAAATTTTAAAAAATGTCCAGTAGTGATAAATTCCGTTTAAAACCAACAAGGGAAAATACAAAAATATTATTCAGCGAATGGAAGACAAACGTGATGGTTTCAACCATTGTGTTCAGCTCGTGGTCGATTGATTTGATGTGTCCGATGGAACTACTTTGTAAGTCCCCGAAGTGAGCCACGAACCGGGCTTGCTCACCATTCACTAAGTAGTATTGGGGAGGGGGGGTGTCAAATTCTGAGACACACCTTACTCCCAAACATTGTGGGAATGCAGCCCCTGCCAAAGTGGAATTCCAACTCCCATTACTATTTTGCAATGTTTTTCGGGGTGCTCTTGGTATGACGGCATCCAAACAATTCTGCACAACCACGCTGTTAGCTTGTCTGGACCTCCAGTGGCGTTGGTTTCATTGGAAGCCACCATGGATCAAACTTCGACTTGGAACAAAGTTCGAGCTGGCTTGAGGGTGGGGCAACCACCTGTTGAAACAGAAGTGGAACAAAGGGACCCCCCAAATGGATGTTTTGCTCTTGGCTTCCCTTCCCAAACCAAAACAACGAGAAAAGACGTAGATGGCCTGAGACAACCCTTCAAGGCGAAGCCCGCGGGCGTTGTTCACTCCAAACTCCACCGCAGAAGCGCTCCGATTGGAAGCTATGGCCGTCAAAGCTTCCCTCTTGGTGGTTTGGATCCAGGTGGTTTGGCTAGGTCCACCACTACAGGATTCGCGCAAAGAAGGGTAAAAGGGCACTACTGGGGGACCTAGAATTGGTGGTTTGGATCCCGGTGGTTTAGTGCTTCGGCTTGGTGGTTTTCCAATTACCCTCCGCAAAATCCACGTGAACAAGCTTCCACTAGAAGCTCCAGTCGAAAAAACCACACATAGAAAAGGTCACAAGAAGAAGCTCCACCAGTGATCCCAGGGCCTAAGAGATTCGAGATTCGAGAACCTTTCTTTTCAACCTGGGACTTGGGGAGCGTGAAAAAACAAACGGCATGCAGAGCACCAAAGAAACTGCCAGCAAGGCTTGGGTGAAGGGCCCAAGTCAATTGGGGGAACAGACGTGGGAGAACTGTCCAAAGAATCACTCGCCATTTGCGGAATCTGCGAGGCGGAACCCGATTTCTGGAAGTAGCACAACCACCCCGAAGAAGAAACCGCCCTTAAGAGTAAGTTTCAAGAACACAACAGAACCACCTCCATCCGATCGTAACATCATCCCATTCCTGACTCCCCCCCTCCAGAAGAAAAGAAATGGTTTCACCGCCCTGAAACCCTGCAAAATTAGACCTGTGACACAGGCGCACCAACAGCCAGCTTCAGCTTCATTCCGTGGCAAGCTCGGGGCGCCCGCTGCAAATTGGAAATCCGGGAGGCCTGTTTCGGAGGCAATGCAGTGTCGGCTTTACGCAAAAAGACATCCAACGAAAAAGAGCATTCCTTCATTTGCTTTCCAGCCAATGCAAAAAGCAGCTGGAAATCTGGGTCCACATTGCTGGGCTCGCTCCAAACTAAACACCATAGCTTCCTTGCAGGGAAAAAGACAAGCGAGAGGATATCTTTTATCAATTTGCTTGTGGCTTCGGTCACTGTTAAAAGTTGAAAGGGGTGAAGCAACCCCGTCCCACCCGCACTCCCGTGTCGCTCGCTGAGATGCGCGCTAATCCGAGTCCGCCGCAAAGGAACCGCCATTCCGCCGAGCTCCGGAAAGCTTTTACCGGGACGCGGAGGTTTGACGTGAAGCCCGAAAGCAGCCTCAAGCTCTCCAAGCAAACTGAAAAGGCACGCAAGTGGGTTTGTCACATGCTCTTGGGGTGTGCATGTGGTCGGCTGTCTAATTCTGTTTGCAAATTCCTCATGTCCACTGCATATCTCTCGGTTGCCTATCTGCCTGACCCTTGCCATGTCTGGGCCCACCTGGACTCTTGCAACTTCCCTCTCACCTCCCATTGGCCAATCTAGCCTTCTGGCTTCTTGAGCATGCCTGGTCACACCTCCTCAAAGCCACAATCCCCACCCCCCAACAAAAATAATACCAGGCATTTTTGCTGTTTGAAATTCTTCGGGGATTTGCAACCCAACCATTTTTACTAGGCCTTTTTGCCGATTGAAATTCTTCGAAAAAAAGGTGTGGGCATCGCCCCTCTGCAGATTCAATCCTATTCCCTTCGGCTCTCCAGTGGGCATCGCTCAATGCAAATGCCGGAAACACGCCCTGAAGCGGCCTTGGGCCTTGGGGCTCTGAAGGCCGGGCCCGGGCGGTCCCGAAAGAAACACAAAACAAAACAAAACAAAAAAAAGACCGCGGGTGTCAAGCCCTGAAGTGATCCAGGTCCTCCAGTCTATTTTCGTAGGGGAACCGTCCCAACCAAAAAAGAAGTTGGTCAAAGGGCACTGGGGGACCTGGTGATGCAGCGCTTCCCATCTTTCGGGAAACGAAGGAAGCTTCTCGTTCTGATCCTCTGAGAGCTCGAAACTGGGCGTCGATTTGGTCACCTCACTTCAGTGGCCCAGTGGATTGGTCATTCAGAGCTGAGCCACTACGGTCTTCCCAAGTGCGAAGTCCAGGAACTCGCGAAGTGAGCGTCTCCTGTTTATTGTTCAAAATTGGTGGAATTCCAATCTGATTGTCGACCTGACGCGGAAATGAGGACATACTTGCTTCGACAAAAGAACATGGGAACTTGGGTGCTCTTGACCAATTGTTTCGTGAGTACTTTGTGTGGCCCCCGCATGTCCTCCCCAAAGTGGGCGAAACTCAAATGTCAGAGACTCAAAAGGAACCCCTGCAACCCAAAACCCACGCAAACGCTGAAACTGTTCAGCGCCTTTTCGTCGCAAGGCGCTTTCCGTCTCTGAAACCACGGGCACGAGGCAGTTTGGCAGGCGCAACGCCCCACGCGATTCGCGCGCTCGACAGGACTCGCGCCAAGGTTTGCGGCTCCCTTGGACCATTGGACTCGGAACATCTGGTCTCAACATGGTACTTCGAGCCTCTTTTGCATGTACTTGGTTGACGTTGGAAGGCGGTTAAGTGGGGATTTCAACCACTAAATCACAATAAGCAAAAATGTAAAATGTTTCCCAACAACAACCATGTGTAGGGGACACACCGCTCCAGTTGCTTCAAATGGCTTCGAAAATTGAGGCCTTCGGCCCTCACTTGTTGAGCAGCTCCCGCTTCTTCTTCTCTTTGGCCTGGCGCTGGCCCTTTTTCCGTTCCTACATCCCCAAATCCCGAGAGCGTGCGGAATGAGTGCATGTGTTCTCGGCCGTGGTGAACTCTGAAACCTTTCTTGTTCCTATAAGCGAGCAGCTTGAATGAATCCTTGAACACCTCTGCGAAACCAACAACAAAACCGGCCGAAATCATTGTCTGGTGCCCTTGACTTGAGTCTGTGTCCGGTGCCACTCGTTTACGCCGAGATGCAACGCATCACGTCGAGGTTGAGATGGCTTCTGTGCTTTGGGAGCTCTCTCCGAAGGCCCGTGGTCTTCCAAAACCCCCGTGGTCCACTTCCGTGATCGACGGAACAATGGTATCACAAACGGGATCGAAGTCCGGGAATGTCCAAGTAAGGGAACTTTGTCAATGATAAGTACGATAAAAAGAGCTTCCTGCGGCAGACATGTCTTCCGAAATGCATTGCGGCAAGGATTCCCGCCGATTGGCGGAAGACCAGCCGCAAACCAACAGAAACGCTACAACAACAAAAGAAATGACGAACCAGCAACGTGGGCTTGATTTTGAGATATTTTCCCCAACGTGCTAAAGGCACCTGTTGCTTCCTTTGGCACCACTCCGCGAACAATGCGCCGAATTGTGCAAAGAGGCCCAACTTGCCACAACGATTTGAGATCAGCGAGGGGCCCAGGGAGGCAAAAACCCTTCAACTCGTTGATGCAGAAACAGTTCTAACAAGGGAACCATGTCGAGCTTTGTGGAGGGGAACCATGTCGAGCTTTGTGGAGGCCCTAAGACACAGACACAGACAGACACACGCACCCGCCGCCATGCGGAACGTGCGTCGGCGTGGCTGTGTGTGTGTGTGTGTTTCACCAACTCTTCTCTACATAGATGGTCTGGGACTTAGCTAAGTGGGTAGTAAGCCTGGTTGTAACCCACTTACAATGGCTGTAAGTCCCCTATGACCAGGGCAAAGCTAACCATTTGGCCAAGTCCAAAACCATCTGAGTCGTGATGTTTGCAAAAGCAAGTGCAGCCTCGCCAGCGCCTTTGAGAAGCAGGATTGCCATTGTATCGCCCGCGGCTTGGCTGTGTCATTCTGCCAACAAGGTCCTTGCAAGAAATGCTTTCCGGAAGATTCTGCTGCAATCCCGCGAATTTCCGCCGCAAATCAAGGGCGGGGAAAAACGCAGGCCCAACGTGAGCAACAAAAAAAAATGCGATGTCCAGGTAAAATCGCCAATGTCCAGCTCCCGAATCAATTCCTGAAACATGGAGTCAGAAGGGATCCGTTCCAAAAACCGGAAAAAAAAGGAAGAAAAAAAGGAAAAACAACCTACCCAGAAAATCCCTGTTACAACATGTTTTTCTTCCAGGACCCCTCTATGTTCCATGTTTTTGGACCCATTCAAAGCACAGCCATCTTGGGTTCCTGACTTTCCACTTTTCACTTTAGCCCAAGCAGCTTTTCGTTTGTCAAGCCCAGTTTGGTCGAAGGGCTGGCTCCATCTTTTTCCTTTGTCCCCAAACATTGCAAGGAACCTTGCCCTGGACCATGTTGACTAGATCAAATCGGCTTCTCAGTTGTTGTTGGGAACCTCTCGGCACGGTTTGGGGTGTGGGGCCTAGGGCTTGGGATTTGTTCAACTTCCCTTTTGAAAAAAAAAGGCCGAAAAGGTACGAAATGTACAGAAATAAGTTCAGGTGATATCCCCAACAGCATGCGGTGCTCTTTTAGTGCTCGCACCACCCCGCAGCCCTCGCAAAACCTCGTGCAACCCTCATGGCCTGGTGGAACCCTGGTGGAACCCTGGGGGAACGTTGGGGGAACGTTGGGGGAACCTTACCCCAGGGCCGCCCGGACCACCCCGGAGCCTATCTGGGCTGAGACCCCAAAGCTTTCAGCTGTTGGGGAAAAACAAAAAGCTACGACTTCGGTCGCGAACCGCTTCGACCTAGGCAGCTTGGGGCCCCAGAACCACCGCCCCAGGCCCCAGATAGCGGCGCCTCCAGGAGCTTTCTCCGCTCGTTCCGCAGCTCCAGCGCCTGCGGCCATGAAATCAGGCGCGGCACTGGGAGGCGGTTTCGCTTTGAGTCAGGGAGCCCTTAGATGGTCTTGGACGAATCGCTAAATGGTTGGCTTTGCCCTGGTCATACATGACTTACAACCTAAGTGGGCTACAACCAGTGGACCAGGCTTACTACCCACGCTAAGTCCCAGACAATCTAAGTAGCTCTTAGGTGGTTGCTTGGGGATTTGAAGCCCTGGTTCTTGTGGTGGGTATGGGTTTTTGCTGAGTTTCCCTGGCCCACTTCAGTCCCTTTAAGGGAAATCAACAGGTTGCGTAAACAACACATGTTGAAACCAGGGGCTTGCCCAGGGCCAAGCGGTTTTCATGAAAGATAGCAAGCCGGCTTTTCCGCCGGCGCAGGTTTCAGAGTCACACGAAACGCATTCAGTGGTCGAGCCCGGATGAAGCCCCGCATGTTGATTTTGATTCGTCCCCTTTCAGTGGGGTTCGTTCATCGCTTTCGGAGGGAACCTTCTGAGCACGGGCTGTACCTAAGGTAACATTCCCCTTGCGCCTAAGGGGCAGCCTTGATTCGGGTGCCCGACGCTTTCACTCGAGATCACTTCCAGGACGGTCACTTTAGGGGCCCCAAAAGGACCAAAGGTACACATGGCCGTGGGTCAACCCAGTTTGGGGGCCCATTTTAGAACCTATTTTAGTGGTTGATCTGGGGGTACGGGGTTTTGACCCATAGCCACATAGCGAACACTGAAGAATACCAATTCAACGCAAACAGCATCCACCAAAGCAACGCCTTACCACCCAGCCATGTGCAAACCTGGGTACATCCGGGGGGGTTTTCGTCTTCCTCTTGGAGCCTTCCACCAGGAAAAGGGAATTCCATTGAAATTCGATCCCCTCCCATGTTCCACCTTTGTGTTTTCTTTTTGTAGCCTTGGATCCACCAAAACAAAACGGGCACCACACGTTTTCGGTGTCGCTTCCGCCGGCCGGCTCTTCCGTCGCGCCCGGCGCCGCCGCTGGGCGCCCGGCCTTCTCGTACTCCGTTTGCAACGTGGCCTTTCGAAAGCCGTCGCCCAGGATCTGCATGTTCTCGGAGAATTCCTGGCAGAACCCCCACTTTTGGTGTGTGATCCTTCATGGTGGTGAAAAAGCCCTATCAATCCCAAAACCCCATGGGTGCCCTTTTGGTCGTTCATGGTTTTGTGGGGGCCCTTTTTATCCCAACACCCCCATAGTTGAACACGGATGAACCCTGGTGGTTATTTTGGTTGAACCCGGATTAACCCCTGGTGGGCTTTGTCGGGTGTGCCCCCTTTTAGTGGGGATCGCTCGCCATTGCGGGTGACACCCCCTCTAGTAATAGGGTGTTGATCCGGGGTTCTTAGTACTACACAAGCCAGGCATTCGTGTTCCCTTCTGATGCTGCCAAACCGACAGGGGGCAGCTTGTTTTACTTCGGTGAGCTCGTTATGGGGGTATGCGTCTAAAATTGGGGAACACCGAAACTGGAGTTCGGGCTTGCGTTGGTTTCCTTTCAACCAACCCCAAAAACAGTACTCTCAATTGCACACATACACACCTGCACACTTGCACACTTGCACACTTCCACGCTTCCACACTTACACACTTGCGGACTTACAGACTTACACACTTACACACTTGCGCACTTGCACACTTGCACACTGCACTTACTCACTTTCGCACTTACAGACTTACACACGTACACACGTACACACTACCACACTTTCGCAGTTGCACACTTACCACACGTTACCACACGGACTCATAAATTATATATATATATATATATTTGGGTATGAGTTGAATGGGGGATTATTTCGGCACGCATTTTAACGGGGACCCTTTGGTATACATCACTTAGCTGGGGATTCATGTCCACCAACCACTTTTGACGCGGTTCCCTATCAAATTTCATAGCCATTTGGTGGACACCATTCAGTTCCGTGCATGAACTGGGGAAGAATACATATATACCTATATATTAAATTTGTATATATATATACATATATTAAAAAAGGAGAAGAAAAAAAACGAAGAAGAAGAAAAAAACGGTTCATGAACCCCCAGTCCACAGAACAACAGCAGGTGTTTTTTCGCCCGGGATTTCACCACCACCTCGTACCACGCCCTAGCAACCAGTCCTCAGCGCCGAGGGCGCTACCCTCCTTGTCGGGGTCCCAGGAGGCAGACATCATGCCGTAGGAGCCGCCTCACGCTGAATGGACAAGAGCGAGACGAAAATCACCACCGATCTCGGTGCGGCGGAAAAAAAGGTGGTACCAAAATATATGCTTGCCCTGGTATATGGAAACAAAGGCTCAAACCTGCAGAACCCTGTCCCTCCTAATTTTGAGCCATACCCATCTGAAGAAGAAGCTGTTGAGTCTCCACAAAAGTCGACGTTTGACTTTCTGCCTTCGAACTTTGAGTCAGAACATCTGACAATGAATTGTTTTTGTTGTTTCCTTGGGAAGTATATCAAGTCCTGCTACTTGGGAAGTGAGTCGCAGATCGGAAACTGCCACCTCCCATTTGGTCTATGGTCTTCCCCAAGTCTTGGTGTTTGGGGTGCATATGCTTTGGATGCACCAACATCACCAACATGAAAACCATCAAAAGGGGAGGGGGGGAGGGGGCATTTGGCTTTGACGCTCCAAGCAACAGGCATATTTTGCCAAAATTGCCCTCCTGATCCTTCACCTCAGCCCCTCCAACAAAAACCACAGTGAGCCACGGTTGCTCAAGCCACGCCCGATTTTTGGTTTCGCCCTCGGATCGATTTTCGATTTTTGGCCCGGCCGAAGATCGCCAGCGCCAGCAGGGCCAAGGTGACAAAGGCCATCAAGGTCGGAGGGATCACGATCTCCTCGGACCGCCCCAAACCGCCCCAAGCCGCCCCTTCAGACCTTTTCGGAGACCCCCAGAAATAGACCAGGCACCCCGAATGGGGGAAATTCTTCAGACCAAAACCTGGGGGAAAATGACGTGGGGCAAAATAACTCAGACCAAAGCCCGGGGGAAAATGACTAGGTCCTCCAGATTTGAGAGGTTAGAAAAAGGGTACCAACTTTTTTCGGGAGTCTGTTTTAGTAGGGGAACCCTCCCAACCAAAAAAAGAAACGGTGAGAAAGGGCACTACTGGGGGACCTTGATGCCCTCCTTGATGCCCTGGAGACCTGGAAGTTGGGCCCCAAGTTTGTGGGAAAAACAAACTCACCCCGGACCCAAAGCCCAGATTTGAAAATGAAGGCTTCAAAGGTCCATTCAAAGGTCCGTGGTCGCTGTTCTGCTTATGATGTCATGAGACTTCATATCGTGAAAGGAGAACGGAAAGCACTTGCTGAAATTCAAGAGGGGACCCTTTGGTGGACATCATTTAGGTGGGGATTCAATGTCAACTCGTTTTGACCGAACTTCACTTGCCCTATTTAAAAATAGTGGTCCATGCAGTAGAAAAAGAAGCAGCGCTGCCAGTTCTGCCGCCTTCAGGGGTGGGGGGGGGGGGGTGTTGAGGGGGTGGGGGGTGTGGTGGGGGGGGGGGGGGGGGTGTGGGGGGGGTGGGGGGGGGGGGGGTGTGGGGGGGGGGGTGTGGGGGGGGGTGTGGGGGCCACCAATGTTTGTTGATGCACCTGAAGCAGACTGTGATTTTCTAGCGCCACGCCAAAACTTGAACAACAGAAGCGGATTTTTGGTCGCACGAAACTTTCCCACCTTGCCTGACTCACAAACCCTGAGTTTCAATCAACGCCCCTGCCGGAGGTGAAATTTCAAGAGCCAAAGAAGCGGAAGGGGGTGCAACGGGGGTCAAAAAAGGAAGCTTCAGAGCAACGAATCATGTTCGTGCTGGGCTTGGTGCAGCTTGCGCTATTTGCGCTCACGCCAAAGCTGTAGTTTGTTGGGCGTTGCCAGCATCTTTCTCAGGTTGGCCTGCTGAACTCGCGCTGTCTCCAACACTTTGGGTGACCATCTCATCACTGGCCTCCTCAATGCACCAGGGATAGTACGGGCACCCGAGAACGGTCAGTACTGTAGATCCCCTCCAGGACAGCCCCTGGTGAGCGAAGCTTTCAGTAAGTGCCCTCCAAGATCACCAACAAGGCGCACTCCCACCTCGCCTTCAACTCAGACGCATTGCTGGCACTGCCATAAAAGAGCTTCAACTTAGGGCTACTCTTTAGGAACACACTAAGCCATACTAAGCCTCAGAAAGACTGCAAAGAATCGGCCTGATGACGTCAACCGCAGCTCGTCCAAACATGCAACATGCGTGTTTCTGCGAACTGCCCATGAGAACATATGTGCTTTTGCTTAGTGGGCTTGTTTCATACTCGGCACATAGAATCACTCAAGAAAACCTTCTCCGGTAGAATTATTCAATGGATCCATCAATGAGCCCTCGTGAAAAGCCGTGGGCTACTCTACCTAGATCCAGGTCCATCTATGTAGCGAACCTTTGTACGTGAAATCATTTCAACTACAAGGTCCTGTTCTTCCAAGGAACCTGAACAACACAAGCCGGTGTTTGTAAAAAAAGAACGGAAATCATTTCAGAGGCCAGAAGCAAGCCCGGAGGAGGCTCCTGTGTCTTGAAGAGTACGATGCCGAAGGCAAAAACGGCCAGCATGGTGGCGTAGAACGACCCGCCGATCACCATCCCTGGCTTGGGACCTCCTTTTGCACGGAACCCAAGAAGGGAGTTGCGCGGAGAGGTGTCCTTTTAGGTTGGAAATAGATGGGTTTCCCTGGTAGATGAGAAAAAACCCACCAGGCAAACCAGGAATCGCCATCATTTTTTCCAGCACCCAGCAAAACAACCAAAAAGGGACACCTATGGAGTTGCGGTCCTTTGAGTCCAGCGACCTGACCCCGGCGGCTGGGCTTTAGAGAGCGCACCAATACTTTGAAGGGGCGCGCCCCTTCAAGCAGCCTTACTTTAAACATTCTTGAGCATTGATTTTCTTGGGCTTTGGACACACACACACACACACACAGACAGTCGGCATCTACGTATTGACATCTACAGCGGCAAATGCTGCATGTAAAGGTCAATTCTCAGCCATACCCTACATCAAGTGTGCCCCCCAATATATATATATATATATAATAAAGTTTCTTACACTCCTGAAAGTTTCCACCCTTGGATTCAAGATTCAAGCATCCCTGGACACGTTGTCTGTGGCATCTTGAATCTTGGACAGCCCCAACACAAAACAACGTTTGATGCTTGGTTCAACCGACTCTGACGCTCATTGCTGAATCCAAAGGGAACACACGTTGAAATTGATTCCAAAGTCAGCTTGAGTGTCCAGGATTCAACATTCCGCAGAACATGTGTCTTGAGATTCTTGGATCTTGAATCCAAGGGCGCAAACCTTGAAAGTTTGTCTAAACAGTTTAAAGTTTTGAAGTCTCATGCCCATCAAATACTAGGTCCTCCAGTAGAGAGGTTCGAATAAGGAAGGGTACCCTTTTGTCTGTAGTCTATTTTAGTTTTTAGTCGGGGAACCCTTCCCAAAGAAGTTGGTAAAAGGGCACTACTGGGGGACCTAGAATATGAGAGAAACCTTTCAAACGTAGAGTATTGACCGCTACATTCGACCGCCACGTCAGGTGCTGGTCCTGCTGGAATTTGGTCGATCTACAAATACCGATCATGGAACCGCACTTCATAGGCTGCAGCCACTTCCCTACTGTAAGCAATTGCGAAAAGCTAAGCCATTCTCAAAATTCCTGCGACCCCAAAGCCAGAAATCCCCCTGTGAGCATGCCGTGCTTGACGATGTTGCCAGCGATCTTGCGCAGCTTTCTGCCCAAACAGTCAGATCTTGAATGGCACAATGTGCAGTTTGTTTCCGTCAATCCAGAAGAGCGGCCCAGTGGATACACGCCTAGCCTTGCTAGCAAATATACCTACCAGACTGCATCGTAAGTGTCGTTCCTGCTTTTCATATGACACGAAAACACATAAGTTCGTGCCGTTTCTCCAACTCTTTGCTGAGGTTTTCTCCTAACTGTGACATTGGGCAACAATTCTCTGAAACAAACTCCTTTGATCGCTATTTGCGTGCGGCTCGGTCAAAATAAACAAAAAACACTGCTCTCTCCGCAGGCAGAGAGTGGCAAACATCCACCTCCCGCTGGCCACCAGCGAGAAACTAAACAACCAACGCGTAGGTTTTTGGGGATGCGTGGTGGATGCCATTTTTTTTCTGTGAGGGGGTTTCAATTTGGATGTTTGTTTTTCTTCTCGGGACCCCCTTGTTGGTTGGCAAAAAAAACAACTACCATTTTGGGGGTTCGTCCAAAAGACAGACCCATTTTGAGAGCTCAAGCGAGGTCCCCCCCCCCCACCCCTCGCCTCGCTTGGCCACTCGCTCCGCCACGGGCTGAGGCATGACGGCGACCTCTGGCCCGTACCTCGCGACGTTGCGAAGAGCGTGGCATCGGGGTGGGCCTTGGGCTCCTTCTTGTTGGCCCAGTTCGGCTTGCCGGGTTTTCCCGACTTTGGGGCGGCTTTGGAAATACACAAGAGCGCGCATGAAGATTCCAGTTGGATTTTGCTGGGTTGTATCTGCAAGCCTCAAGTGGAGTTCGATGAGGAAAAAGGAAACTTTGATGGTGATCTTGGCTTTGGATTTACAGCAACCCCAGAAGCAAAGGGCGCACGCTTTTCGGCAGCGATCTTTGACGGGACCGCCCTCCAAAGGAAAGGAATAACGACACCGTTCAAGGCGTGGAGGCCAGTAAAGCTGTTTTGGTGAATCTATTTTTGGGACGTTATACCTGTGGCCTGCCTTCGTTTAACCCCCCGGTCAGCAACGCAAGCCCGCCAGCCCCTCTCTTGAGCTGGGCTCAAAACATTTATATCGGGGCTCAAATGGGAGATCAACCGCTTCAGATGGCAACGGCTGCAACGAAGCGCTTCCTGATTGATGTCAAGCAGCGATCGGCCGGCGACGGTTTTGTCCACCATGAGGGCCTCAATGGCTCCTAGCGTGTAGCCTAAGCTCTGCCTGGGTAAGCAAAAGGGGGCCCCCTGAGCCACAAACAGGCCATGCGCTCAGGGAGGTCGGTCCGAAATATGTTTGGGCTGGAGAGTGTCATCGATCTTCTGAAAGCTGAGGAACTTCTGAGACTTCTTCTTGAGGGCATCAGTCTGAAGCCAGCCTGGCAACCGACTCGCTTCAAGTTGTCCGCGGTCTCGTTGTAGGCGGCTGGCGGAAATCCAACCACGGTCTTAGCCCTCGAGTAGATCCGTAGATGTTGTGAAGGATCTTGAGGAGCGCCTTCAGGAACGTTGGGAGCTTCTTGGGTTCTTTGGCGCGGGCTGAGTTTGCAGAAAGGGTGTGGGACAATCCACCATCCTGGGTGCGACGAGTGTCCGGGGTGGGAGGCTTCTTCACGCTCAGCAGGACAGTCCAGGATAGTCCTCCATAGGCTTGCTGACAGTATAGTATCGGGCTAGCAGATAGAATATATGTTTTAGAGTAAATGAAAATGCACATTTCAATAGTCTATCAAAAATACACTTAGAATAAATCGAAAAAATGACAGTTAGATTGAAAAACAGAACAGACGGAATATTTCAAAATAAGGTTTCTGCTATGAACAACTACTCTGCGATAAATGTCCTAGCTGCTAGCCCGTTGCTAGATATTTCTATGTACGGCTTCCAGGAAACCATGTCGGTCCCATGATTTTCCATTTGGGTCCGTCTCTCTTTCAAGGGTATATGCAAAACCAAACGGAAACCAACCGTTTTAAGCTCAAATGCTCAGCCCGACGGGCCATGCCCCTCTCCCACAAACAGATAGAATATTTCAAAACAAGAGCTTGTTTTGTTATGAACAACTAGTCTGCGATAAATGTCCTAGCTGCTAGCCCGTTGCTAGATATTTCAGGAAACCAGGTGGGTCCCATGATTTTCCATTTGGGTCCATCTTTCTTTCAATGGTATATAAAACGGAAACCAACTGTTTTGAGGGGTCCCCCTAAGAAAGACACACGCATTTGCCAAAGGAATGCATGGCTTCTCCCTTTTTTTGGAGCTCAAATGCTCAGCCCGACGGGCCATGCCCCTCTCCCACGAACATTTAGAATATGTCATATACCGCAAATTCTCCAGAGACTCAAACCGATCGTCAAAATCTTTGATAGCGCCCACTGGGTGGGCCACATTCAGCTTGTTCTTGGGCAGGACGAGCGTCTCGTTCTTCCGGAACGGGTTCAAGTGTCGGCTCAGTGGCAGTGCACCATCCCAGATCCCGCTGGTTTCATCCCAAGGCTCAGTACACAGCCGGTATATTCCTCGTTGGGGAGGCGAATGCCCAGCCTCCTCGTGGAGCCACAGGATCGCCTCGGTGAACTTGCTGTAGCCCAAAGCTTCTCTGACCAAGAAGGAGTTCATAGGCTCCTGACGACGACGCTGAAAGCTGAAGTACTGCTGGCAGATGGCTGCTGCATTCGGCAAGGATTGTCCCACCAAAGGACTCCGGGCTGGCTGCTGCAGGAGAACTGGGCTGGCCATGACATGGCCAGCAGCCGTGCGAGTCCGGGAAGCTTGCCAATCAGCCTGTGGGCGCAGCACCGGCGCTCAAATGACGGCTGAGCAAGGTCACCAGCACCAAGCCGTAGAGCTCGCTTAGCAGCTCCTTTAAGGCTAGGGCAAAGGCAAGGAAAAAGTCTGAGGCCACCAAAGAAAAGGAATCCTGTGCTCCGCTACCAATGCAACGAAGCGTTGGGCTTCTTGATGTCAAGCAGCGAAGTCGGCCGGCGACTGTTTTGTCCACGATGCGAGGGCCTCAATGGCTCCTAGCGGTTGTAGCCTAGGCTCTGCCTGGGTAAGCAAAAGGGAGGCCCCTGAGCCACATGCCATGCATACATCACAATCCATGCCCTGAGTTGGTCTCTTGCAGTTTTCCTTTGAAACCAAAAAGAGGTCCGGGGTCTCCATGAAACCGCAACATCTCTGGGTCCTATATGAACCTGGGAGCCCTCTTGGAGCTCGATTCGCCCCGAGCCCGTGTCCTTTGAAAAAAAGTATGGAATTCCTGACAATAGAACCTAGCTGCAAGCAGTAGACCCCCAATACACAAAACACCTATGGATCGAGCTCATTCTATTCAATGATTGCCTTTCCCGAAAATTCGGGAGAGAGCGAGAGAGAGAGAGGGAGAGAGAGAGAGAGAGAGAGAGAGAGAGAGAGAGAGAGAGAGAGAGAGAGAGAGAGAGAGAGAGAGAGAGAGAGAGAGAGAGAGAGAGAGAGAGAGAGAGAGAGAGAGAGAGAGAGAGAGAGAGAGAGAGAGAGAGAGAGAGCACTTTGCGATCATGGCTTTGCCCATCTCGTACTCATCGAGCTCTTCCTGACCAGAGCACAAGTGCTGGCGGGTCAAATAACTTGAAACACCCGAGGGTCACAAGAGGCGAAACCCTGCGGTTGTCAGAACATCGACGATCGGCATGGATCTCTTGTTGGTCCCCATTCCTGTTTCATGTTGGGCCTTTGTATCGCCACAGAAAGGATCATAATTTGAGAACCACCACAGGATCCGGCCGGTAATTGGGTAACTTCCACATTCCTTCGAAGGATTCTTCTGTTCAGAATCCATCCAAAACTCAGGAAATTGTTTTCAGAAGAAACGGTTGAAAAGACTGGGACTCAACCTCTAGACTACTTCCAACCAGATTAAAAATATCGCCTGACTTGCATGCTTCGCTGCATGCAAATCGATCCGCGGGCCACGCCCTTGGCCAACTTCCACGCAACCTTCAAATCAATGTCTGCGGGGGAGGTGACATTGCATGGGCCTCATGGGCCTCCGGTTTTTTGGTGCGATGTGCTATGTGAATAGTGCACAGAATTACCTGTTTCCCAAAGAGGACATGGGAACATGGGGTGGGCGGATCGCCTCCGGTTTTTTTTTGGTGCCAGGCTACTAATCCCCTTGTACATGACACTAGCCTTGGGCCCGGTTTTGTTTGACATGCGGAAAGATCTGCGGCTTGTCTGGCTGTTCCTTTCAGCACATGAAATCATGAAAAGCCCGCTAGCTTGGAATCTGACCGGAGACTTCTGGAAGACTATGTCCAGTTCCAACCCCCTTCGTGAGGTGTCTCCGGTGGGAACCAACCTAGGAGACACCGCAAAAACACCTTGGAGATTGCTTTTTGTTGGGATGATCTCTCATATTGTCTTAGGACGCACCCATTTTCCTCGTTCTCAGCAGGAAATGTCAAGGGTGTTGGGCATAGGTGTCCCTGGGAAAATGGATGGCCCTGCAACCAGGCCAAGTGGGCCCTCGATTTTTTCTGTCAACCAAAAAGGACACCGATGCTTTTGGGAAGCAACCTAGAGATCCCCTACCAAGCAACAAAAGCTGGTTAAGCTCCTCAGAAACGAACCAGAAAACCATTTGGGTGTGTGTCCAAAAAGCCGTGAGGCTGTGGGGGACGGGGGAAGCACACCATGTGATTGTCCTGTTGCTTCTCGTTCGAACCTACGAATACCTGAAAAAAAGCTACCCTCACGAAACAGAAGCAGAAATCCCAGGAATGCATTTAGGCCACCCTCAAAAAACAGCGAGCGAACACCCGTCCTCTCGCTTTTGACGCAGCGCCAAGGTCTTGTCGCGCAGGTCGCTCAGGCGCTGCTTACTGGCGCGTTTTGAAGGGAACCAAAAGCACACCACCGAGCGGGAAATTCCCACACCTTACACACGCCCAAGCACAGCATGGGAGCGGTGGGAGCGGGGAATGGGGTGGGAACGAACCTGATACGGGAACCGCGAAGTCATGGAAGCTTCTTTAAATGAGTCAGAATCAAAACCCGGGGTTAACATGGTCGATCCCCAGAAACCAAGCTTCAAGAATGAAGACGGCGGAGATCCGCAGCCATTGATGGTTGGGATTGTCCCTTGCTAACCTTCATCCACCTGGGGTTTGATTGTGGCTCGCATGTATGGGCGTTGCTCATGTGTGGCGGTACCTTTTGTGGGGTTCAAAGGAAAACCAGGTGTTGAATCCCCTTTTGAGACAAGGCCGTATGAGTTTGCAATAGGTACCTGGTTCTAATGTCCAAGGAGTCGGTTTCCTTTGTCATTTGAAACTCCGAGGGACCAGTCGATTGCCCTGGATGATCTACGATCCCCGGCAATGGATGCGAAAGAAACACGTGCGACATCTCTGGGTTTTGCCTGTAAGGGAACACTTCAAAAGCTGGCATCCATGAGGTTTCCCATTAAGCCAGCCCAAAAAAAGGTACCCTCGCAAAAACCAGAAAGAAGAAGAACACAAAAAGGGGGGAAACAAAAAAAACAGTGTCCCCCGCATGTTCGGAATCCATTTTCCTTCACCCTTTGGGCAGGGCGCACCCATCGGATCCATTCACTTCGAGCCAAGGATTCGAACCGGGTCATAGGCCTTGACGAGAACCCAAATGAACGAGCCGCAGTGGGCCAACTGAACGGAACCCATTGAAGGGTCCATCTTGAGGGGAGAAACCCACCAAAAGCAGGACTTGAAAAGTGCCACTAAACAACTGTCGGAAGATTATCATCAGCTCAGTTGGAGGCATCGCAGCATGTTGGGTTGACGCGCTGGAACCTCCTACTCAAAATACCCATGACTTTAGGGTATACGGCTTCCCATGGTAATTGTGTGCCTTTGCAATACCTCCCGTTTCATCAGCAGTTGAAATCATCCCTCAGAACACCAAGGTACTTGGGGTAGGCGCTGGACTACCCACCCACTTGCCCGCCGCCCACCCACCGCGCATCGGACAAGTCCACAAGTTGCTGGCGGGCAGGGGGTGAACAATGAGCTTCATTGGTTCACTGAATGAACGGCCTTCAACGTGAACCCCGTTTGGGAGTGTCTTTTGTTTTGCCGGGACCTCCAATATAATTGGCTTCCATTTTGGCTTCCCTTTAAGCCAACCCCAAAAAGGGTACCCTTAAACACTCTCACGGCTTCCACAGCGCACGCACGGCAGAGCAGTGCGAGGGTACCCTCAAACAAGAAGACACGCCCATTTGAAGTCGGGGGGGATGGGTACAGAAACCTGGTGCAACCTCGCAGCGGATCTTTCAGCCCCCAAACGAAATCACTGGTTTGCCCCTCGGAAAACCGTCTGTGTCCAAAAGCTATCCAGACCCGCACTGGCCAGAATCGGGAAAATGGGGTGGGGGGGGGGGGGAACCACTGGGTGTGTGTGTGTGTGTGTGTGTGTCTGTGTGTCTGTTTCTCCAGGATGCGGTGTCAGGGGGGCCGTCCGCTTTCAAAAACGGGGCAAAAGGCAAAACCTGGCGTGCCTTCCCATCGAGATTGCTTCACGCTCGAAACGAGCACCAACAAAATCCCCTCAGCTGGCTGATGTACTTTTGCTCAAAAATGGGATGCACATGTGTTCTTCTTCTAAAACTGTACACCCCATGCCACAGGGTTCCTGTTGATTTCCCTTGTCCAACGTATAGGAAACTCCGACCTTTTGCTTTTCTTCCGGTCTGAAGGGAAATCAACTGAGCTGATTCTACAAACTCGTGAGAAGCCCAACTTTGACCATGACGCTTCACATGAGCAAACGGCAAACAACATGCAAGCTGCGAACTTCTCAAAAAAATTTCGGGGCAACTGCTGGCGGACCTGCCCCTGGTGCGAAGCTTTTCGTCAAATTGCCAAACAAGCCGCCCGAAGCGCTCAGCCTCAAGGCCTTGCTCTTCGCAGAGGACTTGTCCTGACCCGGTGGTTCAAAACATGTCGACGGGTGGGATGCCTTGGGATTGCGGTCCTAAAATAGGGATCCACGTTTTGTTTGCTATTTCGAAAAGAAGCCAAGGAAAGAAACACTGCAGCAAGAGTCTGCATGGCAGTTCTGCGCTGAACGGATCATTTGCAAAGAAGCAACCTGGCACCACTTGGTGTGCCTTTTTTTGAGGGGACCCCCCCAAAATGGATTTCGGTGTTCGCTTCTGTGGTTTCCCTTTAACCAACGAAGAAGGGGGAGGAAAAACTCAAACAAAGACAAGGCACCCAGTCGAGTTTTGGAAGGACGTAAAGCAACGCCCCATTCAACTCAGGAAGATGCCCCAACCATGGTCCACGGCTGAAAGTGTGGGTTTGGTTTTGTGGGTAAACAACCAAGTCTGGTCCTCCAGTAGAAACGTCAGAATGAGTTGGTACCAACTTTGCTTCTGTAGTCTATTTTAGGGGAACCCTCCCCCCAAAAAAGAAACGGCACTACTGGGGGACCTAGATACAAAGGGGGGTTGATGCCCATTTTAATGGACGACTCATTAGTTGGCAAAACGTTAACCAAAGTAGGTGTTGTGGTAAAATAGATCCTGGTACATGGATGGCGACTAAAACCCATCTAAACCAGACAAAAACCCATCTATGTCTATCCAAACGAACCGAGATAAAGTTGACGCGTTGCGGAAGGCTTCCCCCGAACCCTGAGCTGGGCGTTGGCCGAAAGAACAAAAGATCCGAGGGCCCGAAGAAAATTCCTCATCCCCAAGGCCATGGAACCAGAGGAATGGCCCCTTTAAAGGGAACACGTGTTCGACCCCGGGAAGAAATAAAAACATGTCCAGTAGTGAAATCACAGGGAACATAACAAACATTCTTAAGCAAATGGAAGAACATGGTCCAGGACCCCAAAACCTCAGTTTCCATGGCAACGTGGATGGGGTGTGGGGCGAAAAACGGCCGCGCACGGACGAGTTCGGGGCAAGTCTGTTCGGGGCATCCTTCTTACCAGCCCGATTCATGGCACATGTTCTCCCGAGTACGCCCAGGCCTTGACGATGCCCGTCTCAGTGGATTCTCCCTCCTGACAGGCGGAAGGGCCGACTTTTCTTTGTTGGAAGTGTATTGAATGGTTCTTTCTTTCCTGCGGTTTGGGAGCCTAAAGGGCCTAAAAATGTCCCCTGGATGTTGAACAGCTGAATCTAGGGGTTGATTCCTTGTCCATTCTTTTCAACCATCGTTCTTTTCAACAACCAGCCGTTTCCCCTGGGTTTTTTCAAAGGTTTGCTGAGAAGATCCGGATCCCTGGGCTCAGAATGGGGAGGCTTCAACTAGAATGAAAGGAAACCATTGCTGGAGGTCCAAATCTAAGAGCTGCTGCCTCCTTCTCATCCTTCGGCGCCTTTTTCTTGGGCGCCTGGCAATGATCCGCGGCTGACTTCGCAGCTGCCAAAGGAAAGCATCTCGGCCAAAAGCCGAGAAGAAATGAGTCACAGGACTTGCCAGGGGCGGTGTTGGTCAGGGATCCTTACATTACACACCTGAACAATGCCTTGTAAATGCTGGTGTCGCTTTATTTTGGTGGAAAAAGCCATGTTTCAAATGGGCGAAATGTATCCTTTAAGGAGCCCTGTTGGTATGACCGCTTTACAAGCTAAAAAAACAAAAACCATACCTGCACATGGCCTTGAAGAGGTGAGCCCTCTGCGGTTGCCAACTAACTTCAGGTCGATTCGCTTTGGGCCACTTCAAGATCCCACCTAGAAAGACCAAATGGACACCCCCCGCCACCCAAATCGGCGCATTTATGGCGTGCAGGTGGAACATGGTCATTTTGGGTGGGCCTTGAAACCGAGCAACCGCAGTGTACACGCGAACCCCACAGAAACACATCTATCCCTGAATCGGGTTGCTTGCATTCCCCTGATGAGAAGAGGGGTGATCCTCGTTTGTGGGCCAGACTTAGACCCCCTGAAAGTCATGTGTTTGCTGAGGACATGAACGAAACCCAAAAAGGCAAAACAATTCAAGGGTGAGGTAGGTCTGCCAAAGACAGGGGGTCATTCATCTTGCACGGTCCCCGGAAGATCTACTTTTGGGGGGGGGGGAACCCGAGGTGCTTGAAAGCTGGTTGAATGATCAAAAGCTTGCTTGCTGAGACAAGTGCACCGCAATGCAATGGCTATCCTGTAAAAATATCCAGTTTGCAAAGGAATAATGTTGAAGTAGTGACAGAACAAGCTGAAGGTTTCTTGTTAAAAATAGTAGAGACCCGCAGATGTTTCGCACACTTGCCAAAGCATGTCAGTTGCCGACGTGCTCCGCAATTCCCCCCTTTTTGGCACCCGGTCCAAGACGACATTTCTAGAGGGATGTCCTTTCCATACCCCTCCAGAAACTGAAAATGAGGAGTTATTTTGGGGGCAGCTGGCATCCAGCTGTAGAAACTGGCAAATCAGGAAGGACGCATGTTGGGCAAAGCACGGCCCTGCTTGTATTTTCCAGATTTCGGCTTGTCAAGAAAGGTGTGCGCATGGCTTCCCTGAAGCAATTGAGAACGACACGCTGGCACTCAGCGGATCCCGTAGCTTCTCTCTCAAGCCTCAGCCTTGGAATCCCCAACAGCCATGGACCCCTCCCTCCCCAAGCACCCCAAAGGTCGCCTAGTCCTAGCTGAATCAGTTGGGAAAGAAAAGACCCCTCCAAAACGAGAAGCGGAAAAAGAGAGATGAGGCGAGCCAAGCCAAATGCGCGGAGCCTGTGGCTTCACACAACGGACGCCTTGGAACCCCCCGACTTGCGACCGACAGCGAAGCAAACATCGGGTCCATGTCCCTGGCCTTGCCGAAGCCTTGGGCCTGACAGGAGGAAACGCTCAAATGGGTGGCTCGTCACTTTTTGGCGTTGGCCCCCCTTGTTCCGGGTTTTGAAAGGAAACTGCAAGGAAAACCGAAATCCATTGTGTGTCCCAACCTTTATATTCATATATATATATATGTACATATGTGCGTACGTGCGTGTTATGTATACCTTCAAGATAGGGCGGCAGCCCAAAACACCCTTTTCTCCGCCATGCGCGCAAAAGCCTGCAGCGATTGCTTTGCGTTGGCTAACCAAAATGCCCCGGCCGCCACGCCCTGGTCCCCAGCTATCAGCCCAGCCACCCTTCACCTATAGCACCTGACCCACAGAAGGGGGCTCGGACTGGGATGCAGGTGTGGCAGTCCAGAAGCTTATCAGCTTATCAGAGCTAAAGGCAGCACGGTCTGCCTGCAAGCCTAGGCCCGTGAAAAGCCCCGAGACTAGAAGGCACGAAGCGACTCGCCCGGGGTTGGGTGGGAAAGAAAATGAGCTAGTTGGCTCTTGAGCCAAAATGGCCCTCAGTCCATGATGGCTCAAGCGCATGTCCTATTCAAATGAACTCATGTCACCCAGTGCCTGCCCAACACTAACATGACACATATACTGTATGGGAAACGGAAGGTCTCCTGGTCGATCCAAGAGGAAAAGGTAGCGAGAAATGGAAACCCCGGTTCTCAACATGTTGTCAGTTGGCTGTAAAATGGTTGGAACACCCAAAAATCGTTTCTGGAGATTTGTCATGCAAATTATGACTGGCAAAGGTTCAAATAACATCATACCCTATACGTCATGTATGTCTTTTCGCCACAAGTGACAGCGCATGCTCCCAGAAGCTAGGGGGTCATACCAGGGGTCTATGCATTGCATCTAGGTCCTCCAGTAGAGAGGCTAGAATAGGGCTACCAACTTGTTTTTGGTAGTCTATTTTAGTAGGGGAACCCTCCCAACCAAGAAAGAAACGGTAGAGAAGTGCACCTAGCGGGGGGACCTAGTTTTGCTTGGCTCCTGGAGAAAATGTTTTCGAACCCTCCTCGGTCGAGTTCACACGCTCTAGCTTCCCCATTTCTCCCAGGATCCTAGCTGGGGGACCTAGGCATTCGCACAACCCAAAGTTGACGGAGATGGGATCGATCCGAGCTTGAGAGTCCTCTGCAATCCGCGGGACACCACAAGAGCCCCTCGTTGGGTAGAAGTTTGTCCAGCAAGTGGGTTCAGGGTAGGTCTTGGTTTAGTGCTTTGTTCGGGTTTAGGGCTAGGTTCAGGCTTGGTTTAGGCTGGGTTTAGAGTGGATTTCGTGCGAGCTTAACCATCCGCCGAAAGGGGAACTTCCATTTGGTTAAAACAATAGCGAAAAAATCCTTTTGAAACCAACATGGGAAAAAATGATGTTCTTAAGCAAATGGAAGGGAATATAGGGAACCCTGGATTTGAATCCAAAGACTTGTCCACACCGTTTTTGGTTACCCCCGACGAGCAACGCGGTGTACATTCGAGTTTGCTCCATGGCCGAAGTTCTTCAAGTCGTTCCTGCAGACAGGCCCGCTGTGATCACATTACATGGATTGCTTGGACTTGTTCCGTTCAGATTCATGATCGCAGCTGATGACAAGCAAGAAAGGAATCTGATCACAGCTTCATGGATGATTCCTTCATTTCCAGCTGGTTGCCACGAAAGCACCCAAAACGGCCAGAAAAAGAAGGAGGCAAAAACCCCGGCTCCAAATGACCAGCCTTTTAAGGGACGTTCTTTAAGCTGGGAACCGAGCCACCTCGGGCGGTTTTCCCTTGGAACCTCGCCAGACCCCCCACCCCCCCAGCTCCGAAGCTCCGAGTCGCCTTGGCCGCTTCCCTGACGGAAACGGGAAGCGCTCCATTCGCAATGCAAAAGAAGGTAGCTGGTTGCATCTGGTTGGAAGTGTTGGTGCCAAAGCTGGGAATTGGGCAGGCTGTTGGGGTGATTGTGCCAAAGTGATGGTTGGAATTGTGTAGGAAATCAGGGCGTCCCCTAGTTGTACATCCTGGTCCATTTGCCCAGTGAAACCCCTTCGCGCGGCCGAACGCAAACCCTAAAAGTCAAAGACCCAACGAAAGGTCTGTGCCGTCATCAGAGGAATTCAAGAACAAAAAAACAACCCAGAAAATATTACTAACTAACATATATAACGATGGCCCAGCTTCCCATAGGTACTAACTGTGCAAAACTTCCATCGACAAGTGGAAAAACAATGTAAGCTAAACGGGCAAAACATAAATCAACAAGTTGAACAAAAGTTGGAAACTGTTACTAGTTCCTCCAGTAGAGAGGTTAGAGTAAGGGTACCAACTTTTTTCTGTAGCCTATTTGAGTAAGGGAGCCCTCCCCCCCCCCCAAAAAAAAAAGAAGCTCAGGCGATATCCCCAACAGCACCAAACCCTCCCAGCACCCTCGCAGAATCTCGTGGAACCCTGGTGGAACCCTCGTGGAACCGGTGGAACCCTGTGGAACCTTCGTGGAACCTTGTGTCAGGGCCGCCCCGGACCACCCCGGAGCCTATCTGGGCTGAGACCCCAAAGCTTTCAGCTGTTGGGGAAAAAAAAAAGAAGAAGAAATAAGCTCAGGTGATATCCCCAACAGCATGCCGAGTGGAACCACGGTGGAACCCTCGTGGAACCTTACCTCAGGGCCGCCCCGGACCACCCCGGAGCCTATCTGGGCTGAGACCCCAAAGCTTTCAGCTGTTGGGGGAAAAACGGTGAGAAAGGGCACCTAGTGTATGATGTATGGAACAGGTTGACAACCGTTGGAGGTCTCAAGATCCTTCCAGAGCCCGGCCTGGACACCCCAGCAGCGCGCGATGGGGGAGAGCCCTCGGCAGGTGAAGCGCTGTAAGTCTTTTTTGTTGAAGAATACGGAGCCATGCATAGATGGCACTCGAATTCAATTCTTGGTGGCACTGGGAAATGATGAAGTATGAAGCAAGCTGGGAACCCAGCTATGTTCAACCAAACTCGCATTCCCACATCGAATCCAACTCACCCAGCGATTCAACAGGTGCCCGGGAGCACCTCCAGGGCTCCATGGGTAACCAGGGCTCGGATTCCCAGATTCCAGCGAGCCCTCAAATGGATGAGTTCCACGCTCGTTGCCAGGATAGTGCGATGTTTTTGTCTGTACCTGCAGAATGACCCATCTACGCCTGTCAAAACTCCAAGCTGGGCTCTTTTGCTGCAACCTACCCGCCCAAGCATACCCTCCCACTATTGAGCATGGACCATTTCCTTCCCACAAAGACACCTCGACGGGCTTCATGTTTGTCAGAATCTTTCTGGGCCCCGAAAATTGACCTGACTCAGCCGCCGGCGCCAATGAATGCCAGCGGCGCCTCAGTGCCAGGTGCCACCCTGGGGAGGGTGGGAACCACAACAACATTTGGGGGTCCCACCCCTATTTTTTGGCCGCATACTCGCAGCTCTCGTGTGCCTGTTCTTAGCCCTGCACCAGGCCCAGCGGCACCAAGACCAGGAGGCCCGGGCGTCGCCTGCGCGAAAGCCGGCTTCATGGAGCCGAAGGATCTGGAACCTGCCTCTGGGCTGTGAAGGAGGGGGGGCGGGCGGCTTCTGCCGAAATCTGCTGCTGGCAGTTTCTGCGGCCTTTTTCCCTCTGCCTTTGAGACCGAAGCATGTTCCAGGGGAAGGATGCTCCAGCTTGCCATCTTTGCGGGTCACAAAGGGACCCACAGGGCGTGGACCCATTCTCAACAGAACACCCTCACTCGCCCTCTACCTGGGCCGACCTTGTCACTTAAGACTTTGTCCTGACGACTTATAAATCCCGCAGAAAGGGTAGGTACAAGGGTGGGTACTTGCCCTGGGTTCCTTGAAGTTTGCTAGGGTTCCTTAAGTTTTCTTAGGAAGCCTTAGAACCCCCCCTTCCCCAAACCACGGACCCAGTATCCTCAAGTCTAAGAATTGCGTCATAGGCCATAGGCCCCTTTCTGCAAAGCCAGACATGCTTTCGATCCTTCCAACAAAATATGGACTTGAGGGTGCCGAAGTTTGGTTTCAAGAGCCCCAAACCCGCAGGAATAACCCACCACTGCTGGTCCGATTTTTCTCAGACCCAAGGCTTGCTCCAGCCTCTGGCGGCAGCTCATGGCTGCCTGGGGTGGCAACCAGCTGAGCTTGCTGATCTGAGTCTAGGTCCTCCAGTAGAGAGGTTAGAATCATTGGTACCCGATTTTTTTTGTCTAGGGGAACCCTCCCAACCAAAAAAGAAACTGTAAAAGGGCCTAGGAGTGGAGCCTTGCCCCAGGAAACCAGCCCAGGAAACGCCATTGCGAGAACCCGAAAAAGGCACCAAGACATGTGGTTGTTCCGTTGTTTTTGCGGCTAGCGGGAGCATGAACATACTGTCCCGCCTGAGTTGCGCACTGACTTGAAGTGGACGGATATCGCTTGACAAAAGCCGTCTTTCGAAAACTTGCCCCCCCCCTGCCCAGGTGGGTGGACATACGCAAAAGGTTTGGGTTGGGCTAGGAGAACCACGAGAAAGTGTTGCGGTCCGGAGCTTAGATAGTCTCCGTCTGCAATTGACGGGAACCCAAGGATATTTCTGGCCATTTTCAAGCGGCCGGGCCAACTCCTGGAGGGGGGGGGTCCCTTTCACGTCGCAACGGGACACACCAACGTGGGGGATGAAGCTTGATAAGGGCACCGTATTTACATGTGGGGCATGACTCACCAAACCAACTTCTGGAATCTAAAAGTCTTCTCTGCAAGCCCAGGCATTGTGTCTGTTTTAGGGAACGCCAAAATAATCAGAGAATCATGTTCCCTGTGAGAAACCAACCAAAAAGGGGTACCCTCAAAAACAGACATCCGCGTGTATGACATGAGAGTTTGTGCTCAACCATTTGGCCATGGGTCAAAATCCCGTACCCCCACCGAACACCCCAATTTCCCCACTAAAATAGGTTCAAACATGGGTGGTGCATTCACCGAAAACCCCCAAAATGGGATATCCCAAAACGTTTTGACCACCACAGCCATTTCTGAGGGTGTTCCAACCAGTCAAAGGTGAACCCACTTTAACCTCCCGCCCAGCGACGTGAAAATTCCCATCGCCTCCACTTTCCAGAGCCAAAGACGACTTCTTTCTCGACGGCTCGACGGCTGCGGGTGCGCTTTCGGTGAGATTTAGGATCCCAATGTTTCCTCGCAGCCTCGCTTCCGTTTGCTGGTTTCAAAGAAAAAATGAATATCGAACAAAGGCGCGGCGCTTCCGTTTGCTGGCTTCGATAGAAAAAAAGAATATCAAAGAAAGGCGCGGCAACATCAAAAACACCCATTCTTCGGGCGTCGGAGAGCCAGCGCAAAACATCTCTCGCTGGGCTCAGAATTGGATCGCACGTGCTGAAATTAAATTGCTGCCGGACAACAGAAGTGTTGAACCTGTATAATTTGCGGTGTGTCAAAGAGGCCGAAAGGAAACCAAGCATTCATTCGGGTCCCAAGCTTTTGACGAATGTCAACCGGCATTTCGTGGCGTGCCCGGCGCCCTCTGACCGGGATTTTGGTCGCTCCAAAACCCCGCAAGGAAAGCAAGAGGAACCGACCCGGATGGTCCTCCCCTTTTTTGTTTGGCTCGGAGCGACCGGTGCTTCCAATGTACAAAAGAAACCGACCGCCAACCCGGCATCGAACTGGATGAAGCTCTCAGATCGGGAAACACCATGGCGTGGGAAGCCCTGGAGGTCTTTTGCGCTGGCGCCATCCCCGACCCTCAATTTGCAGAGGAGCGCTCCGTCAAAAAAAAGAGGAGCGAGCGGAGAAGACCAGGCACAAGGCTGAAACCTTGCAATGAGGCACCTTCCCAAGCTTCAGCCTCAATAATTTCCTCATGCAAAGCAGGTTGGGGTGGAAAAAACAAAATCCGCATTTGCGTTGCACAAGGCTTTCTTGCACAGGGCGCCGAGTCTCCTGTCAAAGGTCGAATCTCTTGCTTGCCTGTTCCCTGTTTTCCAGCCAAAAGGAAACCAAGGGCCCCAACAACTTTCGAGGGCCACTCGGAGGAGGCTGTGATTTGGACTAGGTCCTTCAGTAGAGAGGTAAGAATAAGGGTACCTTTTTTTGTAGTCTATTTTAGTAGGGGAACCTTCCCCCAAAAACTCCAGTAGAGAGGTTAGTTAAAAAGGGTACCAACTCTTTCCGGTAGTCTACTTTAGCAGGGGAACCTTCCCCAAAAAACTCCAGTAGAGAGGTTAGTTAAAAAGGGTACCAACTCTTTCCGGTAGTCTACTTTAGTAGGGGAACCCTCCCCCAAAAACTCCAGTAGAGAGGTTAGTTAAAAAGAGTACCAACTTCTTCCGGTAGTCTATTTTAGTAGGGGAACCCTCCCCCAAAAAGGGTGAGAAAGGGCACTACTGGGGGACCTAGTGGAACATGGTCGAAGACAGCCGAACGCAAACGCACGGAGTCCTTTTTGTGCCACGCGGCACAAAGCACACGGCTTGGCATTGACGCTCTCATTGGTGTGCCTGTCGAACCCAAAACCTCCCGGGACCTGTTGGTCTGGGGTCTTGAGGGGGTTGGTGCTCAGTAGGGAATGTGGGAATGAACCCAAGGGTCCACAGAAAGAAAACCACCACCTGGATGGTTCTTCCTGGGGTCGCTCCATTTCTCCTTGCCGATCGCATCTCTCGCACCGATCGCAAGTCTTTCATGAGAGGTTCTGGGTCGGAGTGATAATTCGGCTGTGGCTCAAATAGATGTACCAAAATGGCTCCCCTTGGTACATGGAACCAAAGACTAAAACCTGCGGTTTGCCCTAGCTCTTGAATTTTGAGCCACACCCATAAGGCTTCGCAGCATTGACCTTGACCGTCTCCCATTTGGGAGCTTGGTCTATGCCCCCGAGACCTGCCGTAACGATCTTGCCCTTTCCGGGAACCTCAGCAGGTATGTTGAGCTAGGTCCTCCAGATTTGAGAGCTTAGAATAAGTTGGTACCAACTTTTTTCGGTTTGTTTTAGTAGGGGAACCCTGCCAACCCCCAACCCAAAAAGGGTAAAAGGGCACCTAGCCGGAAAACCTAGGGAGTCAACGGGCGAGTTTCGTAGAATGCGAACACATGTCGCGGCCTTTCTTCCTGCGCACCTCCTTGCTGAATGAGTGATCTGGTGAGAACTCGGCTGCTTTCTGCGAAGCCCCGCGTTTTTTGTTTTGTTTTTTTTTTAATAGTGGTTTTAATGGAACACCCATTAGAATGGCAAAAGGTTAGAGTCCTAACATCCCTTGGCAAAATGCACCAAAGAGATGACCAGACATCTTCTTGACCAACTTGTCAGTCCCAAAAAGTGGCGTGAAAGTCCACGAGGCCAAGTGAGACTCACGTCAACCTTTGGGGCTTCCCAAAGGGCTGGTCTCGCAGGCTTGGCGTAAAAAGAGAGGGCACACTCCCAGCCCGCGGGGAGCGAGCAGCGAGTGGTGAAATCATCAATCCGGCCCAGGTGTGACCCCAGGATCTTACGTCCAGAGTGCTTGAAAATACATGCTTCAACTGGAATCTATTCTCACAGGTATTAGAAAAACTCACAACTCACATACTTCTCATGTTTTTCAAAGTTCTCACATGTACTGGCAAACTTGGAAACACGAAAGTATTCGCACATGTGGCTGTGGCTCAAAAAACAAGCACCAAAATGGCAAGTAAATGGAACCAAAGACTAAGACCTGCGGTTTGCCCTGGCTCTTTCATGTTGAGCCACGCCCATGTATTTCATGGCCTTGCCTTGCAACAGGCACTCGAGAACCCTTTGGCTAAGAGCCCTGGGGCCCCTTAGCGGAGAGCGCGAGAGAGGCCAACGAGATGCGGAAGCAAAGGAGATGCAATACCCGTGCCGGGGTCTAAGATGGTTTCTACCCCCAAACCACTAAAACCTGGTTCGAAGAAGCTGTGGCTATACAGTGGCGGTATATCTCCATTAAACCCTCGGGGGGTGTGGTTTGGGGGGATAGACAATATGCTTGCTGATTGCCTTTTTAATCCAGTACAACTCAATCCCCGGATATCTGAAAGCTATAGGGGTTCTAACTAAATACAAAGGGGAAAGTGATTTGCGAGATTGACGGCTGGGTGCTAGGGGCATGCATTTGGGGTGCTGGTGCGGGTGCTGTTTTGGGGCGCCGGGTGCCAGGGGGTGCTGGTGCAGGTGCTGTTTTGGGGCGGCGGGGCATGTTTGCAAGATGGCCATAGGTCAAAATCCACTAAAATAGATTAAAATTGGTGGTGCACCTACCCCAACATGGTACCATTGGCTTTGACCCACAGCCAGATTGACGGCTGGGTGCTGGGGGGTCCTGGCAGCTGGCGCAGGTTTTTGGGCGCTGGTGTAGGTGCTGAGGTGCTGAGGTGCTGAAAGGCTTGAGTCGCCTCAAGGTTGAACTGGCCGTGGGGCGCTAGGTCCACCTCGAGCGCAATCCTTTGAGCAGTTTTACGCTATCTGGGGTCTATGCTGGCATAGTTCTATTTGGCCGGGCTTTGCATTTGTCGTGGATTTGCTTTTTGTTTTCTTTTCCCCGCGTGGCCAATACACCATGGTTGAATGCCATAGTTCTCCGAACGACAATATGGCGGGTCAAAACCCAGAAAACCCCTGGCGAACATCCAAAATAATGTTGACTCCGGATTAATAAACCCCTGGTTGATTAATAAGGGGGTGTCCCCTTTTAGTGGGGATTCGGAGGGAACACCCCCGTAATAGTGGGACGTTTTTATAAATCCTGGGTCAACATTAGGTGGTACATGAATTTATAATCCGCCCCCAAAATGGAGAAAAGCATAGGTTATGACGCATGGCCATAGCTGGCCACGCGTTCACGGTGATCTCAATAAAGCCCTCCCCAAACCAGATCAGTTCTGTTTTGCGTCAGAGAACCTACGAATGTCTCCCGACTTTCTTGGTCTTGAATTGGTTGAAGCGCCCACATCGCCAAATCAGCTTTAGGGCATTTGAGGTGGCGCTTTTGGTTGCGTTTACCAGGGTCTTGGTGCTTCTCGTCAAGCTTGTCGTCTCAAATTCCGCTCTTGGAAACGCTCAACAGCGCCCTAAAAGTTGAACATATCACCAAACATGAAGCAAACAGCCATAAGATAAACACTTGATTCGCTTTGGACGTGCTCATCTGCTCAACCGGAGCTATAGGATGGTCAGCGAGTGAGCCTCTCTCGCGGCGAGCTACGGTTCGCGCTACGTGTCAGCTCCTGCATTGCGACGAGTTGTCTCACATCCCTTTTCACATCAGTTGAGTCACAATCAAAACCGATCGGTATTTTTTCATGGTCCACCCACCACATGAATAAAGATTTCAGGCGGCACCAAAATTTGTGGCCGGGAGTCCTTACGATCCATCACTTCATCTACCCGGGTTTTGATTCCACAATCTGCTTGTCATCCTCATGTTGAGGAGCAGTTCCTGGCCGCAGTTCGTCCCATCGGCTCTGATTTCCACGTGTGCCATGCACTCTTGTGGAAAAAATCGGCACCCGCGCCCCTCCCAATTGACCAGCTCGGAAAAGCGAGACCTACACTTCGAAACCGGAAGGCAAAGTGAACCCAACGCTGAAAAAGCGCGAAAGTCCACCAAAAAGAATACACACAACCGGTTTGTATTCTGCATCTTTTGTCTACTTCCATTTGCTTAAGCCGCCTGGAAAAAATACAAATATGTCCAGTAGTGATAGATTGACTTTAAAACCAACAAGGGAAAATTAGAACTATTCCTAAGCAAATGGAAGATGACCAGTCCTCTGGGAGAAAAACAACAACGAACCAATTGCCATAGCGAGCATGCTGTTCTAGCTGTACCCTCCCCATTCTCTTCAGGGATCCTTCTCTTCAAAAAATGGCAAAAATCCCGGAACATAGGTGGCTTCTAAAGGGAACGCTGGGTGAACAGAATGGGGAATCAAACCTTAGAGCTGTCAACTAAATCCATTTCGCAGCACCGAAATGGAAAGGTTTCGGATGAGTCCCCAACGTAAATACCGACCAATAAAGCTGTTCCTCAGCCTCACGTGAGTCACAATCAAAACCCGGTACAAACATGGTTAACCCAGAACCATGCTTCAAGAATCGTAAAGGCGGATATCCGCACCCATTTATGACAAGGGGATTGTCCCCCTACCCTCCAATTACCCGAATCGGTTTTCAGCAAGCGGCTCACGTTGCCAGGCGCAATGGCGAAAGCGAGATCCCGCCTGTCGTTGTGCTGGTTCTATGCAAACTCCGCGCCTTTGCCTGGAGAGAAGGCTCCGCTCCTTTGAAACAAATCGCATCCTACCGTGGATGGTGGCGAAATCCAGAAATCGCAACACTTCGAAACCATGGTTGAAACCATTGTTTGGTGGTATTTACGTTGGGGAATCATCAGAAACCAGGGTTTCTTAGGTGGTGCGAAATGGATTTCGTTCATCCACAGTCGGAAACCAGTTGAGACGTCTGTCTCTCTCCTTAAAACCCAGAAGTAAAAGGTGAGAACCTTTTGGGGCCATGACTAAAAAATATTACCAACAAAAGGGAAACCTGTCCAAAAAGGGGGAAATCTGCGGTGCACAGGCTGCAAACACATGGTGCACAGGCTACATGCACATGGGTTTGTGTTTCCATGGCAACCCATATTCGTATTGTGTTTACAGGGAAACCAAAACGGACCACCACTATTTTGGAGGGTCCCCCAAAAAAACCAAAGACGAACCCATACGGAAGCAGTCTACAAATGCGAAGATGTGCAGGGAAGTATGTCAAAACGCTTGTGCACATTTGGCCTTTTGGAAAAAAAGATGGCCATGCGAAATGAAAGAACCCCCACCTAAACCAGTGCCATGTATTCTTAAGCAACCTCACCTAAAAAGGACACCTATGGTTGTGCACCAATGGCAGCCGCACTCATTCCCCCTCCCCTGCCTTGGCCGCAGCCCTGCGCACCCTGGTCGCTTGGCGTGATGCGCGCCGACCAACGGATGGTAGCATCTAAAATGGGTGGTGACCTACCCCAAAATGGCACCATTGGTCTTGAGCCACAGCCACATAATTTCCCTTTGTGCCACAAGGGAACATGTATGGGCAAGGGTGCCTTTATCACGATACCACGCCCCCGGCATACGTTACCTAGGGGTGTGGAGACTGGTTAGCAACTGGTGAGTGATTGTGTGTGCGTGTCGATCAGCCAGCCAGCCAGCCAGGCAGCCAGCCAGCCAGTCCGTCCGTCAGGTCAGTCAGGCAGCCAGTCAGGACTACAGCCCCTCTCCTTGGTTCGTGTGCTGGTCTGGACGAGCAAGCTACACTTAGAATCCTGAGGGGAACCCACCGACCGTGTATGACTCTCTTTGGATTAAGTATGCCAACTGTTGGTCACCGGCAAGTGGTAGAGAGGAAGCCCAAGACCCAGTTTTGAAGAAACCGTGTCAAAAGCTTTCTGGGTGGGGTGGGGGTCGTGGTTCATCATTGCAAGTCGGCCAAGGACCGAAACAACCTGCGTCGACTCGACGCCCTCCAACCCACAGCGGGGCCTTTCCATGGTCACCCCGGCGCTGGGCGTGTGGATCAAACAGCTGGCCGGAAGCCGCGTCCTGGCCAAAACGTTTTGCCCGTGCTGACCCAAAGTATTCATCAACACCTGCTCAGGTTCATAGGGGTCCCGGTGCTTTTCCTTGGCGGAAATCAGGGGAAGACCTGGGATCCTTCTTCTGAAAAGCCTAGGGGGAAAGGGGTGGGTTTTTGAAAAGAACCATGGCCGCAAAGAATGGTTGGAGTCAACACCCAGCTTGATTCGTGTATCCCGTGGTCTTGTCTGTTGCAGGCCATGACAAAAACCTCCCGACATGTTGACATCATGGATCTTTTGAGGCCCCTCAGCGGTCCAGTTTAACGGTGAATCCGCAGCTCGATGTGGAAGACACGTCCCCGAGAAAAGGGCTTCCACAAACCTATTGCCTCAAATCCCCAGCATATGGACCATAAGCAAAGGTTGTGTTTTGCGACCCTGTCCAGTCAGTGTCGCAATGTGTAGGGTTGGTTTAGGCTTGGTGTAGGTTTAGGCTTTGGTTTGGGCTTAGTGTAGGGCGAGTTTAGGCCTGGTTTGAAGGGACGGCTTCCAGGCGAAGTTGAAGCCTAGGTCCTCCAGTCGAGAGGGTAGGGTTTAGGGTACCCACTTTTTCCGCTAGTCTATTTTAACAGGGGAACCCTCCCCAAAAAAGAAACGGTGAGAAAGGGCACCAACTGCTGGACCCAGCTTCCCATGGTCCCTTGAGCGCCTGGTGGCCGGCTTGACCTCCTGAGCGCGAAATCTCTCTCTCCGACTGCGCGGTCCAAAATCGCCGAGGGGGGAACATTTGGGTAGGCCTCGGATTTATTTGGTGAGTCTTGGCTGGGCACAAGGTCCACACGAACCAAAACTAAACTTGATTCCCATGATTCTGCCACTTGCCGTCCCACATCCTCCCCGAAGTGAGGACCCGGGCTCAAGAGCAACGTTGTCACTTGCTCATGTGAACATCGCTGGCAAAGCAAACAGTCACGCGTGGCAGGCAGTGCCACTGTGGATGGACGAAATCCATTTCGCACCACCTAAGAAACCCTGGAATGATGATTCCCTTGCAAATATCAACAAACCGTGGTTTCCCATGGATTCAAAGTGGTGCAGGATGTTGTCCATCCACAGTAGCAAGCTGGTGATGCTTCTCTGAGACAAAAAAGCCGTGGCAAAAAGGATTCATCGGGTCTCTTGCATGTCCTCTTTGAACGTCACCCCACCAAACGGAGACTCCTCAAAAAAATGGCCCAAAAAGTGATGCTTAAACAACCAAAAGGGAATCCAAGCATCCCTGTTATGTCTAATCCCCTACAAAGGCTTCATAGTTGGTAGCAGAGCGACCTGATTTTGAATTCTTTGCAAGTGGAATTTCGGAATTTCGGCCCAAATTCTTCCTGCTGAAGCGCTGTCGGAAGTGTCAACTGCTGCCAAGACTCGTCAGACGCCGCGCCCTCATAACCATGCCTGGCCGCTTGATGAGATTTGCCGGCGCACATCAATGTGAGCAACGCCCGAAACCCCTTTGCTTTTGGCGTTACTATGTTACAGTTATAGGCTGTACTATGCCCCCAGTTGTAAAAGCCAGAAACAAACCTGGCGCAGGGCAACGTCCCTGGCCTCGCGATCTCATCACCTCGGTGAACCAATCCAAACTGCAGACATGGAGTTGATAGCTGAGTCACCGTTGGATGGAAAAAACACCAACCTGGCGACGGAATCGAAGAAAGGATCTACTCCTTGACGTGCAAGCCCGCGATGTAGCCTATGGAAAGGCCCCAACAAACCGCCAGCTCCTCCCCTCTCACCCAGCGCTGGTCCTATTTGGCTGTGGTTGTCAAAACCAATGGGATCCCATTTTGGGGTAGGCGCACCACCCGTTTCAGTCAAAATTTTAGTGGGGATTGGGATGTTCACTGGGGGTACGATTTGGACTTTGACCCATGGCCGTTTTGGGACACTGGGAAGATTCAAAGCCCGGCCATCCCCAACCTCTGCCTGGACCTTCAGCCTGGATGGTTGATTCCCCATTCTTAAGCGTAGGTGAGGGCCCCCTCCCCCCCCCCCCAAAAAAAAAGGGGAGAAGAAGCAAAACAACCTGGCGTGCTTCCCTTTAATTAAATGTATATAATAATAACAATAATAATAATAAGAAGAAGAAAAATATTTAATAATAAGAAGAAGAAGAAGAAAAATAATTAATAATAATAAGAAGAAGAAAAATAATTAATAATAATCACAATTGTATTAATAATAATAGTAATAATGATTATATGTAATAATAATAAATGTATATATAATAATAATAATAATAATAATAATAATAATAATAATAATAATAATAATAATAATAATAATAATAATAATAATAATAATAATAATAATAATAATAATAATAATAATAATAATAATAATAATAATAATAATAATAATAATAATAATAATAATAATAATAATAATAATAATAATAATAATAATAATAATAATAATAATAATAAATAATAATAATAATAATAATAATAATAATAATAATAATAATAATAATAATAATAATAATAATAATAATAATAATAATAATAATTAATAATAATAATAATAATAAAAAATAATAAATAATAATAATAATAATAATAATAAAAAAAATAATAATAATAATAATAATAATAATAATAATAATAATAATAATAATAATAATAATAATAATAATAATAATAATAATATATATATATATGTATGTTTAAAAAAAATAAAAATGCCCCAACAAAAAGCCGAGCCAACGACCTCGCGCGCCCAGGCCCCGGGCGGTTCTCAGATCGCCTCCTCTGCGCGGCGCGCTGCCTCTCGTGGAAGTCGTCCATCCACGCCTGCGACGCGATGGTTCTCCCCATCCAAAGGCTAGGTCAGGTGGAATGTTCATGTCATAGGAAATAAGTAGACTATGATCATAATCATATGATTCGCCCTTCCCAAACGCCCCCCTGTTTCCCAAGTTTTTTATTCGGGGGGATTGCCATCTATGCTGAGTTTCCCCGTGGGCATTCCCGAAATGCTCATTGGCTACTTTGTACTTCCTGTTTTGAATCAGGATCCTACTGCGGACGAACTCCTGCACCACCCCCCTGGAAAGAGACCCTGGAATGACGATTCCCCTAAATATCGGTAAGGAATGGCTCCCATGGTTTTGGTAAGTGATCACATGTTCATCCATTTCATTTCCTGCTCGGTTGCGGTTGCTCGTTTTGAAACCCAGCCAGTTGTTGGGAGAGTAGCAACTCATTAATGCTGACCCCGGAGCAATACCCCTGTCATTCATGTTGATATTCTACACCCTACTTTGGATGGACATCCTGCACCGGTTTTTGTCTCCATGCTTGAAACCAAGGTTTGTTGGCACAGAGGAATCATCAGAAATCAGGTCAAAACCAGAGGCCTAAACATGGTATGCCAACCGAAAGGGGGTGTCCCACTTACCATCTAGGTAGAATACGTTGGTACCGAATTCTTGTCTTTTTTGTCTATTTTAGTAACCAAAAAGGGGGTGAGAAAGGGCACTACTGGGGGACGTAGAAGGGTTTGAACCTCGAACAGGCCCTTTTTTGAGGCGCTGACAAGAAGGACAGCCCCCGCACATGTTAAAAAGTTGGTGAAGCCTCCCGCCCGTTTTCAGGTACCAAGATATTCTTGGTGTCTTCGTTTGCGGGTCATTTGGCTGTGGGTCAAAAATAGGCACCCAAAATGGAACCCTGTTAAATGGAACCAAGGACTAAAAGACCTGCGGTCCAATTCCTGGTGGTTTGATTTTGACCCACGCCCACAACTGGTTGATTACCCCCGACGTCAAACCTGGGCGACTCTCGACTTGACAAAAGGGACGCTCTGGTGGGTTCCAGGTCGGACGAGGAGGGCAGTTGGAGGTGTTCCATCTTGGATGCCCATTTCCCTTTCACCCGTCGGAAAACCCCACTTTTGGACACACACTCAAGGCTTCGCTCGCCTGCCAATCCTCCTCGATGAGGTGTCTGCACCCCTCCCAGGGGTCTTCAAAGAAGGGCTCGCGCCTGAAGCATTCGACGCAATCGACGCAGGGCGACGGGCAAATAGACACACATGAGTCACAATCAAAACCCGGTACAAAGATGGTCGACCCAGAACCATGTAAAGAACTAAGAAGGCGGCCGCAGCTATTTATCGCTGGGATCGTCCCTTACTGGCCTTCACTTTTCCCAGGTTTTAATTGTGGCTCAAATGGCACCAGGCTTAAGGATGTCCGAAACTAATATCTAGGGCTCCATTCAATCAAATCGCTTTCTGCAAGATCGGTACTAGCTATCAGCAAGAAGCCGTACTAACTGCGTGCCATACCACATGGGTTTGTCTCAAAATAGGGAACCCCCCAAAATGGCTGTTGTGGTTTCCCTTTACGCAATCCAAAACATGGTACCATCAAAAACACACACACACACACACACACACACACACACACACACACACACACACACTGGCGGTGCCAATCATTAGGCCCAAGAGCTTAGCATTTTTCAGCCAGAACAAGCCACGCAATCTGCGAACTCAACAAGAAGGTCCGTATGGGTGTGGCTCAAAAATAGGGAGGGAACAATTAGTGGGGGCTCATCAAATCTGGAGGGGAAAACCCCTGTATGAATAAAAAGGGATTGATTCATGTTGATGGTAACTGGGATCAACTGAGCAACGCAAACAGATACTAGGTCCTCCAGCACAGAGGTTAGAATGAGGGCACCAACTTTTGTATTTTTTGTCTATTTTAGTAGGGGAACCCTCCCAACCAAAAAAGGGTGAGAAAGGGCACTACTGGGGGACCTAGGCTAACTTAACCAACAAGAACGTCCATCTTGCTATAAGAGTTCGAGGCCTTCTTGAGATTGACTCTGCAAACTTAGTGCATGGTAGCGGAAACGTGGATATGTACAGCAGTTATTCAGTTGGGGGTGGTGACTGTTAGTAAGCTTGAATGGCACCGTCATTTCAATACTCCTACGTCCGGAAGAAACCAACCGTCGTTTATTGTGGTTTTCCTGGTGGCTTCCCGCAAAAAATGGGTAAGAAGAAGAAGAAGAAGAAGAGGTTTTTGTTTATGGTTTTCCTGGTGGTTTCCCTATAAACACCGCAAACAATGGGGTATTAAACGATGGGTATTTATGGTATTTGAAGAAGTTTTTGTTTATGGCGGTTTTTCTGGTGGTTTCCCGAAAAAAGCACCGCAAAGAATGAGGTATTTCTCAAAGAAGACACCCATATGGGTGTGAATTTTACATGTGGACATCAACATTCGGTGGGGATTCATGTCCATCTCTGAATACTCAGAGCTCGGATTACCACGTCAGCAACTGGATTCCCTTTCACCTACCTCTTTGGGACGTTGGTAAAATCAGGCGGCCAGTGTGCTAAGGGCAACATAATCAGATCTGTTGAATGTGCGAGCCAGCTCGATTATTTGAAACCTCTTCTGCTTTTTCCTTTCGGGGGGGGGGGGGGGCGAAAAAACCAAACACGGCACCCGTGTTGATCAGCTCAGCTTCTCAGTCGTCGCCTGGAGTCCCGGAACCCCGAGGCAACTGGTCGCTCAACCGTGTCCTGGCGAGCGGAGGAACGAGAACCCCATCACTTCCTGGGGATTTCTGGTTCTAAGGCAGGGAAACATCCAGGAGAACCACCATTATTACACAGAAATATGTATATATATATATATATATTTTTACATACCCCCCCTTGAAATACTCAGGTTTTCGTCCAGAACTCAAGCTTTTGGCCAGACTGGGGGGACTCTGAACTGAGCTGACAGGACGCGCAGCTCCGTGCAAAGTCAAACCATGCAGAAGCCAAGCTCAACGTTCAGAAGGAGCTCCGTGAAGCGCACGTTGGCAGCGCCAGCTCAAATAGCACGACTTTTGGCTTTATTACTTTTTGTTTTGCAAGGAAACACGGCAGATCATCCACTTGGGGTGGAAAGGAACTCAATCCTACTTGCAACTGACATCCAAATCAAACGTAAAAGTGCTTCATGTCCCCGGCGCAGTTGCATTTACATCTTAGTTGGTTTTTGGTACACAATTCCATTTACACTCTAAGTAAGTGTGTTTAAACCAAACTTGCAAAGCAGCTATCTCAGTTGTGCGTTACTTGTCTAATACGATTCAACCCCTGTGAAGAACAACTATTGAAAGTCAAGTATAAGAAGAATATGAAAGTTGAAATTATTTCAAGCTCAAGCCAAATTCAACTTTGACTGGTTGCGGTTTCTTGTGCGTTTCAAAAGCGAATTGGAGAACACAGCTATTGTCATGGCCAAGAGACATTTTCAAAAGGGTTGTTGTCCGTATCTAACTTCATGTGGCTTTAACCAAGCAAGAACTGAGCCAAACCAATACCAGAAAAGTGTTTTCAAACCTAAATATTCTTATTGGCATAAAATGCTGTAAAACGCGGTGCTTTCAGCATTCGCTCAGATCATGTTGCCCTGGATCGAAGGCCAACTATTCAGGATTCCACAGACACCGTTCAATCCTCGCCCCCAAAAAGCTTGACAGTTGTTCTACACTCTTTAAGGTTTCCCCCCTGCATTGAAGATCTCCCAGACTTGCTTTTTTGACAGCCGTCAAGTTCCACAAAAACTGTAAAGTGTTCAAAACACATGGCTCCCTTATTGGCAAAATGCAAGAGGTGCACATCCACATTTGACTCTTGGAACGTGCTCTGCTTGTCCGCCTTTTCGGATCCCATACTTGGGCAATCCAGGATCTGCTTTCACATCCTGGATTGACGATTGCGGTTGAGGATTGAAGCTTCTTTGACATCTCTTTCTGGGATTCATCAAATATGTACTTTGGGCAATCCAAGATGTGCTAGCACGTGCTAGCACATCCTGGATTGAAGATTGAAGATTGACGATTGACGATTCTCAGACCACTTTTCTGGAAATATTCAAATGCATACTTAGGTCAAATTGATGTATGCTAGCACGCGCTAGCACATCCTGAATTCCCCTAAGTATAGAATTGAATCTCAGCAAGAGTTGTCAGATAATCTTCAATCTTCAATCCAGGATATGCTGGCACATCCTGGATTGCAGGAAGTACTGATGCTACAACTTAGGTCTAAACAAGAGCGCATTGTTTGAGCATCATTTTTTAGAAACTGAAACGTGTTTTTCGCATGCGTTGTTCAGCAAACATGTCAATGTTTGAACAAAAACCTGATACATGTGTATATATATATGTGTATACATACATATATATCTGTATAAGGGTCGGGTCGTCCTGGGGGCTGCGCTTTTCAGTCCTGGGGGGCTGCATTGCTTCCTCTGATTGAACTCGCTCCTTATCTAATTATTCTTAGTGTTAGTTAGAAAATAAGTTGAACTTAGTAGAATTCATAAGAAATAATCTAAAGGTCACAAAATTGTTGAATACACGGTATTTAAAGGTCTACTGATTTGCAAAGCCGATTCTCTTGGAAAGGAAATCTTGTGTTGCATTTATTTTGACATAGAATAACCACTAATTAAATGGTACTTCAACATAAGAACAAACATGGTTGGATTATGTCCTTACTAAATTACATGTAATGTGAGATAGAAAATAGGTAGAACTTGATAAATACATTAAGTACCATTCATACGGAAATACATCAGCGGTCCCGAACATGTTGAATACATGTTCCTATGTAGCATTTATTGTGAAGTAAAATAATCAAAATTCAAAGTCTACTTTAACATAGAAATTCTGACTGGAGTCTGTCCTTATAAACTTCTACTTAATTTATGTCAGACATGGAGCAGACTTTGACAAAGCTATTAAGTCATAAGGAAAGAATTCAGAGGTCCCCAAATCGTTTTTTGCTTACCAGCCCCGGCGCTACCATGGTGAGGAATGGAAGTGTTTTGTAGCGTGTTTTGTACTCAATATCCACCAACAGCCGCTCTTTAAAATTCAGTTTGAATCTGAATAGGATTTAATTCGGACTTAATAAGGAAATATTTGATTTGAATCAGAATCCTACTGCGAATTGCCATGTAGACTAGGCGGAGATTCTTTCCCTATAGAACTTTACAATTCAATTAGAGTTTAAACATAACTGAGAAGGAATGAATCCAATCACAGGAATGAATCCAATCGCAACTTGTTTGTTTAAGCCCACTTGGGGTGGCACCCTCCACCTTTAGACCACCCTAAGCCCACTTAAACACAACCACGGTCGAAGCCCTAAACCAGCCCTAAACCCACCCCAGAACCACAAGAAGCCCCACCATAAACCAGCACTAAACCATCTACCCTCAATAGGCCTGGAACCCACCCAGAGCCAACCCTGAGCCAACCTGGAACCCACCCTAAACCCAGCCTAAACCAAAGCCTGGTGATGCTGAAGATGTTGAAAACGATGCTGAGGATGTTAAAACGATGCTAGGCCTGAACCTACCCTAAACAGACTACCCCAAACCTACCTTAAACCCCCAAACCTTTGTCCGGTAGTGTCTCCTTTCGTGCACGCCAGGCTGTGCCAGGGCTAGGCGATTCCAGGGCTATGCAAAAAAGAAAACCAAGCCTTGAACGAGCAGAAGAAGGGTTTTTGCTTTTCTTTTTTTTGGTGTGTCTGTGTGTGTGTGTTTGTTGTTGTTTTGTTTTTGTTGGTCGGCGTTTGATGACAAACGCAGCCCTCAAGGAATCTGAAAAACGCAGTCCCCAGGGCGTCCCCTTCTGGATACACACATATATATATATATATATATATGTATATATACATAATATGCACATCCTCATGTCTTTTGTGGTTTTTTGGGGGGGGGAGGGAGGGGTGGGGGCGGGGGGAGGCGGGGGTGCTTCAGGTAGGCGACTTTGTTCACACAACATGGGACCCCAGTGCTGCTCGTTTCGCATGGTATATGGTGTGTGGAGGTCGACTTGAGCAAACGTGAAATGCATCCGCGCGCCTCGGAGAGAATGGACGGAGGGCTGATGGAGCCGGCCGTGGTGGGCCTCGGAATGCGCTAGTCGTTGCCCGGGTGATGGGGGGGGAGGTCCTTTCTTGGGCGTGCCTTCAAAACCAAAACAAAAAGACGGGTGCCCTGCAAGAAAGAAGACAGACACAGCCAAGCATGATACCAAAACCACAACAAAAAGGTACCCTGACTAAAAGGAAGAAAGACACAGCCATACCATGTTTCGGTCATTTGGAGGTTTGGAGTGACCACCTGTAGGTGGGCAACTGCCACCCGTTGGGGAGACTGCAAGTCTAAACTGAACCCCGAGGCGGACCATACATGCAAATTTGGCAATGGGTCAAAACCCAAATCGTACCCCCAGTCAACACCCCAATCCCCACTGAAATTTTGACTAAAATGGGTGGTGAATTCACTGAAAACCCCAAAATGGGATTCCATTGGTTTTGAACCAAAACCCAGGAAACCCCTGGTGAACATCAAAGTAGTGGTGCACCTACCCCAAAATCATTGGTTTTGAACCATGTCTGCACACATCCTATTTGGGTATGCTTGGACGCACGAAGGGCTGCTTTCACATGAAAATTGGACCCGAGAGCTGTGAATTTTACGTTTCAGGAGATGTATTTGGGCGGGGGGGGTTCCCTGACTGCGCTTTTTCGTAGGAAACCTGGATTCTTGGGGACCGAAAGTATCATGTCGCGCCAAATCTTCATGGCACCTTCACGCAAATCAACTCCACTTGAGCTCGGGTTAATCCCTAAAAGATACACGCAGAAACAAGGGATAGCGGTCACTCAGGCGTTGGCTTCTTGACTTCGTCCGTTTTCCATTTTTTAGGGTGACCAGACCTTGCCCCAACCTGTGACCCCCCCAAATGTCCATCCCGATGGATTGCACTTCGCTGAGATTGGTGCTTCCAAAACTGGGCGATGCCTGCTTTCCTTTGAAGCACAACATGTTCAGGAGGCAACAAAGGGGTCCGCAAAAACTGGGCTACCCTCAGATCCCCCGCTAAAAGTGACTAACTTTTAGCGGGTTAAATGGAAACTCCCACTAAACACTAAAAAACCCAAAAAGCTAAGAGGATGGCCGGGAGCCACCAAGAAAAGAGATGACTCTATGAGCGGCAGCTTCTCGGGTTCTATGATGCGAGTACATGTTTGTCGGCTCAGCTAGCAGCTCGCTCGTCAGGTGACTGTGAGCCAGGCGTTGACTTTGAGCTCGACGTGCTCTGCAAGCCTCAGATGAGAACCCCCAGGGTTCGTGAGGAGGGTAAACCCTTTTTTGTTTAAATAGGCTCAGGTGATACTTTTTCAACAGCACATGTGCTCTTTTTAGTGCGTTTGTTTGCAAAAAACAAAAAGAGAGAACAACCTACCACGTACTTCAGAGATCCTTACATTATACACCTGAACATTGCCTTGCAAATGGTGGTTTCCTTTTATTTTGATGGAAAAAGCCATGTTTCAAATGGGCAAAATGTATCTTTTAAGGAGCCCTGTACTTGTTCACTCCAAAGCAAAGCCCCTCGGCACAGACAAGTTGCTGAAGCCTCATTCCGTAAAGGCTCGCACCAAAGAGGAAAAAGCCAGACCTACAACAGGGCGCGAGTGCCAAGAAAGGCGGGGGATGCTGGCTGAATCGCTTCAAAAAACACCAGGCGCCTGGAAAAACCGGCCAAAAGAAGTTTGCGCTGGAGCCCTCCTGTTGCTCCCCATCCAACTGGTGGTTTCGTTTTTAGTGGACCAAAGCCTGGGATGCCTGGGTTCCTTCCACCACATTCCCGACCGATTTTGCGCCGATCGCAAGACCAATTGCCACCAAACTCAACGAGCCAATCTCAGATGCCCAGTGGCCATCTAAGAATAAAAGAATCGAAAACCCTTACCCAAAAAAGTGGTCGAAAAGGGAAGCAGAACCCACTGGGCAACATGTCACAACGGCTGGACATTGAGGTCCCGACTCAGATGCGCGCGCTCAGACCTGACTGCTGCACCAAGGCCGAGTTCGATTCTGCCTGAGGGGCGGGGCCCGATTTTTTGGTAAGGCAGCATGTTGGACCAAACGAGGAACCAACTCTCAACTCGGACATCGGCACCCAGAAAAATATGCCTGTGATACTGTTGAATCCCCAAATATGGCATGTAGCCCGTGAAACTCGTGTAGGCTACCGCAGTTTGTGGTCAGTGTACTTGTATTTAGAACATCAATGCCCGAAGATCCCTAACCACTGCTGAAGGAAGCTAGACTTCATGAATAAATTGCCCCTTTTAGCAATTCGTGAAAATGGGAAAACTATGCCCGAGGCCCGAAGATCCCTTACCACTGCCTAGACTTCATGAATTGCTAAAAGTCCAACCTTTAGTGGTTCAGTGGAAACTACCACTAAACCCTAGATTCCTAAAGACCTAAGGGGATTGCGAGAATCACCCAAATAAGTCGCCAATGAGGGTCAATAAAACATCCGATGCTGTACATTTCACACCATAGCTGACTCTTGGACAAGGCGAAACGCAAACCCTGTGAGTATGGCTGGGTATGAATTTTCATTGGGGCGCTTTTGATGGACATCATGAGGACTCAGGACCACCACCCACCTTCGAAGATGTTCCTTCCGCACTAAAACTCATGACAGACTGCGAAGGACAGGTGCTGGACGTCTGCCGACTTTGTGCCGGATGGCCGCTCTCCGGACAACGCCTGTTTCCAGCTGGTTCTCCCGTTGATTCATACTGTGGATGGTTGCGCAATCCATTTCGCACCATGAACTGAAACCATAGGAAACCATTGTTTGTTGGTATTTACAGGGGAATCATCATTCCCGTTTCTTACGCGGTGCAGGATTTCGTCCATCCACAGTAGTTCCAGAAGCGAAACAGAATCCCAACGCAGTCACGGCTTCGGCAGGCACAATGTCTGGCAAGCCCCATCCCTCTGCAACGTCTCCATCTCATAGTAGGCATCTTGGCAGGCCACAGCTGTCTGTTCTCCGAAAAACTTCCGATGGAGGCATCTCTCTTTCAAAAAAAAGCGTCGTTCGCTGTTCGGTTGGGGATTCGTCATCAGTCAAGCTCAGAGCTTCCCAGAAGGTAAGCGTGGCCATGGGCTTTTCAAAACCCAAATCGGTTAGCCCCCAGTGAACATCCGATTCAATCCAACCACTAAAATAGGAACTCTAAAATGGGTGGTGAGTTCACCTATCCCCAAATTCGGGATCCCATTGGTTTGGAACCATGGCCATGTTTCGAGGAATCTCCTTTTGGGGGTCCCCGCCTTTTTGGGTTTGCACCGCTTACCCGCTGGGCGCAGGGCGCGCTCTTCGAACCACCACGCCAGGCGCCTCACGTGCCAAATATCACCAACCGTTCGGGAGCCGCTAGGATTCAATCCTCGGAGGGTAGAAACGCGAAAGGAAAACTCAGGGAAGCCAAGCCAATTCTTGATATTTTGGTCCAGCTTCTTCCATATGGTTAAGGCCCCAGGAAAAGAATGTCCAGTAGTGATGAATTCCTTTCAAAACCATCAAGGGAAAATACAAACTATTCTTAAGCAAATGGAGGCGTTTCAAGGCTCACAGCACCCAACGACCCTAAAAATTCGACCACCTGCCGGCTTGCCCTCCCACGTCGAGCGCCTCAGCAGGGTGGCTGCATTTGATCCTAGCTTCCAATGATCTCATGCGTTACGAATTTCAGGGAGACCAAGGTTACCAAAAGACACGTTACCTTTGTTTGTGTGTATATGCGTAATCATTGGTTACGTTCCATGTGCTCTCTTTATTTCCTTCACGTGTGTTGCACATCACCGTGCTGCGTGGGTTGTCTTCATTCGTCTCTCCATGGCGTTGGCGGGGTCGCACCGAGGCTGGGATTCGCGGCTCAATGATGCAGCCCAGACCCCAACACCCGCCTGGCAACGGCAAGGCGCCTTCATAGTCCGAGCCTAAGTCGAGTGGACTTCTTACTTCTTCTGGTACTCGATGTTGCTGGCTTTGAAACAACCTGAACCTCAACGTTTGCCAACCGAGAATAGTATACATAAAATGCAAGCGTTGAAAAGAGACCCAGTGGATATGATACATGTGATCTGGTCCAAATTGTGTAAACCTTGGAGTACAAAATGTGCTCAATGGAGATCCCAGTGGGTATGGCCCGTGGCATCTTGCCAGACCATGAGTCGAAATGCACGGCCGACACTTGGAGCAGTGTCAAGTCCGAATGCAAAAGCAATGCGGAAGGTGCCCTAGTAGCCTTGCCCCCCTTGCGTGCAGAGGTTGCCCACCCCCAACTCTGTCCTGTAGCGTCCCGTCATGCCTTTGTGCCCATGTCTCCACAAAATGGGTCGGTGTCAAAATGGGGTACCCATAATTGGGAACGCCGCACCGGGTTTTGGGGGGTGACCATCTTTAGTCCGGGGGGGATGTACCCAAGGGGATTTGCATGCCAGTGGAGCTGACTCGGCTTTTGACAAAACACAGAAAGCCTCTTCGCTATTTTACTCTGGGACAATCTGCGGACCTGGATGGTCACTTAAGCTGGTTCAAAATCCAATTCAAAATTGACTAAGCTGTTTCCTCACCAAGGCCATTACACCCGACGGCCGAAAGACTCCCACCCTCTACATGGCAGCCAAGCATCCATTCAGAGGCTCGTCCTGCTGCGTGTCTAGCATCTCAGGCAGGAATCCTATGCGATCCGCGGGTCGGACGGTCGACTGGGGGCAATTTGTCCACTTCGTAGATCGCCTGGTTCACACGAAAACCAAGTGGTTGCCTTGGTATGACTCTCTAATGTTGACCCAGGATTAAGAAAGCCGTCCCATTATTAGGGTGGTGTTCCCTCCAAAAGTGGTCTGAATCCCCACTAAAAGGGGACACCCCCCTATCAATCAACCAGGGGTTTTGCTTAATCCGGGGTTCACATTATGACTCTCCACCATTTCCTTCGAAGGCCACAGGACTTGGCAGGATTTCGGTAGACCTTGTACTTTCTTAGGCTTGTCCACTGCTTGGTGCCACTCATCCCTCCGCCCACGCCGCAAGTCCAGCATGCCACTCTCAAAAGAGAAATAACGGTCGAGCGGCGCAGCCATTACGCGGCCGCATATCAGCCAAAGAGTGCAACGCAAGTCCTTCTTGAGTTGGGTGGTTCCTAAAATCTTAGACCCCTAGAAATTGGCCTTCTGTTTTCCCCCTAAAATATTAGCCTCCTAAAAATTGACTTTCGGTGTTCCCTTCAAACGCTCTGCAAGAAAAAAAGAAGTTTGAGAACTTGCGCAGCTTCCAAGCGCGCTCGAGATTCACCTAACCTGACTTGTGCAGCTACAGTCTAGCCAAAGATCGCGGGAGACGCGCGCGCTGGATCTCTGAATCTCTGACTGAGGGGCCCCGAAAAACGTCCTTCAGCCTTCAATGGCCTGTCTCATCTTGGACTTTGGATCAATCCCGATCTTACTGCCGCATCCGCTTCCCAGGGGAACCTCATTCTGAATCCGAATTAACGGGTCCCTAGACTCAGCAAGGCATCCAAGAACTCATAGCACAATAGATGGCATGACTGCGGGTGGTTTTTGGCTTGGGGTTTCTACAAGGCGGTCCCCCAAAAGGAAAGCCCTGAATGAGCATTGCCTTAAGGAGGCCTGGGAGCTGCAGGATCTTGCGCAAGATCTAACTGCTTTGGGCTACAAGCAACTTCTGAACAGCAAGAAGGATCCTGATTTCACCCACCTGGCACTTGCCCTGCCAGACATCGCGACCTTCAAGCACGAAGTTGGCGGCTGCCATGCCTACCATCACCACAAGGCCCTTGGCATGGTGCTCTGCAGGCAACTGGGCGGTTTTCATGCGATGCGTCATGCTCCGCGCCCGCGCGAATTGTCCAAAGTTGCCATGTCCGATTCTTCCCCCGCGATCGCTTCCGCAAAAAGAACATCCACCAACCGAAAGAAAGGAATCGGTCCTTCATGGGGTCCTTCATGTGGGTGAGCTTCCTTTACCCCCGATGAGGCCGGCTAGGCAATATCAAATATCAATATCGCATCTGCCCAGGGGGTTCCGCTCGACGAATGGTGCGATGCGATGTTCATGGCGAGGCGTCCAAACCGGTTCTTTGACAGAAGGTCAAATAATTCCCAACAGGGGCAGCGTCCTTGACGTGCCTGGGTTAAAGGGCAGAACGTCGCTGCCATTCAGACAAAGAGCAACACAGACAAGAAAGAACAACCTGCTTCCCACTATGATCTTCCCGGAGAAGTGGAAAACAAGTCAGTCGTCTGAGAAAGCAGGACGCCCCAAGGAGCTTCAGGAGCAAAAGTAGCAAAAAGGTCAGTCGTGTCTGATTCGGCCAGGTGCAAAGAAGCAGATCATGGCACTTTGGCGCTTGAAGGATCTGCGGTTGGGTACCGCGACCGACCAAGCCGGACGAAGCAGCACACGTTTCTGCCCTAAGGTCGAAGTGCACAACTCCCTCAAGCACTGGAACTCGGGATTCCTCTGAAGGCATGGTGGCTGTCAACTTCAGGCATCTCTTTCTCAAAATCAAACGCCAAATCAAAAAATAAACGGAAATCAGGGAATCGCCAGATTTTTAAGGACCTTCTTTCATGGGGCGAGCTCGATTTGCAACATCTTTTTGGAGGGCTCCCGATTTTTTTTGCGCCGCTCGAACCGCGCGGCTCGCAAGCTGTGAGACCAATTTCTCGGTCGAATTAGCCCAGGAGGCTGTGGCGCTGCCGCTTCGGCGTCTCTGGCCACCTCGGGACTCGGTGAGGGAACTTTTCGATTTCGGCATTTCGCCGCCAGGGGGCTTGGAAGGAGAAAAGGGTGGGGGGAGATTTCCTTTTTTTTGGGGGGGGAAGGATTTTTCCCCAACAGCTGAAAGCTTTGGGGTCTCAGCCCAGATAGGCTCCGGGGTGGTCTGGGGCGGGCCTGAGGTAAGGTTTCACAAGGGTTCCACCAGGGTTCCACGAGGTTCTGCGAGGGCTGCGGGGTGGTGCGAGCACTAAAAGAGCACCGCATGCTGTTGGGGATATCACCTCAGCTTATTATTATTTTTTTGGGGGGAAGGAGTTTTTTTTTTTTGGGGGGGGGGAAGGTTTTTTTTTTGGGGGGGGGGGAGGATTTTGGGGAAGGGGAAGGCGGGGAAGGATTTTGGGGAGGGGGAGGAGGATTTTAGGGAAGGGGGGGTTATTTTAGGGAAGGGGGGGGGAAAGGATTTTGGGGAATGGATGCCCTAACAGGCCTTTTTCTCCAAACGCTCTTCTGTGGCGTTTTAAAGTCAAGGGAAAGTCGAGGCGGGCACAATTCAAGCTTGTAGATGGTGAGACTTTAGTTGAGCTTTGAATACAATCCGTCCTACGGAATCCTTCAAGCCAGGGACAAGGAGGGGCACTTGGGGCACTTGGAATTGCTCCCTGTGGGCTCTTAGTCCTTTGTGCCTAGGCCACAGGGCCAGTAGGTGAATCTGTGACTCAAATTCAGGGGCCAGCAACCGCTTGGATTCCTTGTGTCCAGCGCACCATCCGTAACCAGCAACCCATGTATCTAGGGCTTCATTCCTTTCCATTCTTTTCAACCATCGTTCTTTTCAACAACCGGGATCTGTTTCCCCTCATGGCTTTCTGGAAAGATTTGGATCCCTGGAAAGAATGGAAATGGAAGGTACCCCCAGAACTCTCTGCAAATCAATGGACCCCAAAAACAATTCAAAGGGGTCAGCCAAAGGAGATTCTTTGCACCATCGCGCGATTTTTGGGGTCCATGTCTTCCTACATCCCACTTCGGGCAACGCCCATGAAATTTTGATCGACAGAGCCGAGATCCGCATCGGACCAAAACCGCCCTGAGGCAAGCGCCCATCCTCCTGGCGCGAGCAACCACCCCATGCTCCGAAAAAACTCTGCCGCCCCATGGCCGGTTTTTTCAAACCCGGAAGGTCCCATTTACCCTCCACAAGGGCCAGGACTTCAAATCACCAATTAACCATAGGTGGCCTTGGGGGAAATCGAGGGCTGCAAATGATCAAACCAGGTCAACCAGGAACGGCCATCTATTTTGGGCAACTGCCAAGGGAACACGGCAAAAAACTCGCAAGTTTCCGATGGTCCATGGTTTCGTGTAGAATCAACCTTAGCGTCCGGTGGTCAACATTGGCTGTGTCGAGCTGTAGCTGTTGAAACATGCAAACTGAATGCACACCCTTGCCAGGGTACATGACAAAGTTGCTGAATCTCAAATGGATACTCACTTCTGTCTGCTTGGAACTGACCGATCCATTGATGCCTGGAGGTGTGCCTCCGGTCACCTGTCTGCCTTTCCAAGCTATCCGTCCCCGTCTTGGGCTTCCTTTTGGACAGCTTCTAGTCATTGGCTATGTGGCACCCAGAATGCCAGCGACTCCCAAAAGCCATCAACCTCGCCCAATGTCGAGCTTGGGTGGAAGAGCATCTCCAACCATACAAGCGCCATCTAGGTCCTCCAGTGGAGAGGTTAGAAGAAGGGTACCCGTTTTTTCTTTTTTCTGTAGTCTAGTTTAGTAGGGGAAGGCTCCCAACCAAAAAAGAAACGGTAAAACGGCACCAATCGCTGGGGGACCTAGCCACTGTTCACATGCAACGAAGGACCGCCAAACCGAGCTTGACGCCAGGAAAACGAGCGCAGCCTTTGAGTGGTTGGCAGGGGCGGAACTTCGCGAGAAGCAAGAACAACAGCCAAAGCGGGTTAAATGTCTCATGTCACCATCATGGGTGTGTCCTTTTTAGGATTCGGACCCAACCTTGTTGAGTTGTTTCTTCTGGTTTCCCGCAGCCAAAGGGCTCAACTTCTCGCGTCCTCCGAGCAAAAAGCGAAGTCAAGGAACCATGCGGAGACAAGTGTTCACAGCGCGGCACACAACACAAAGGAAAGAGCACGGCTCTTTGGGCAGAGCGAAGGGCGCAGCGAAGAGTGGGCAGAAGAGCGGAGAACAAACCTGAGCGCAGACCGGAAGAAGAGCGGGGAGGTGCTCACAATTCGGGAGGTGCTCCCAAAGGAACGATCATCTTCCGAAGCCAATGGTTTTGGACGGCAGCCAGCACAGCCATCACTGTTCTGGGATTTGCTGGCCCCACGACTTGCTGGGACTGCAGCTAGCCAGCTTGGTTTTCGTGAGAAAACTGAGGGAGGTAGATATATTTGACAGGGGTACGCATTCCCAGAAACTAGGTCCTCCAGTAGAGAGGTTAGAATAAGGGTACCAACTTTTTCCGTAGTCTATTTTAGTAGGGGAACCCTTCCAACCAAACAAGGGGTGAGAAAGGGCACTATTGGGGGACTGAGGAAACCATCAACATGGCTACTGTTGCTGGTTGCCACTGTTCGCCCGTCCGTTGCTTGAGCAGTGTGCTTCTCAACCCGATAGTGGCCATGGTGAATCCCTTGGAAACCACTACCAAAACCAAAGACCTGAACGATGTGCAAACACAAATATGGATTCCATCTTGGTTTCTGTTGACCCCTCTGCACAAAGTGAATAGCATTTTGTGGGTTTACAAAGTGGAAAAGCCCATGATTTCCCTAAAAGGTAAAGTCTAAAGATCCAACCCAATAGCAGTCAAGCCATGATGGCCGAAACCGAAGCAAGATAAATTTCATGGGGTAAACGTGCCAGCCTCGCTCGCAAGAAAGGAGGCGGGGCGTCAACCGATTCTCCCCTTACTATAGATGTGGCCATCGCCCGTTTACCCATCCCACCCACCCCGCGAGTTTACCTGCGTTTACGCATGGCATCCATCCACCCGCCCAGCCGCCCACCCACCCACCCACCCACCCACCCACCCAGCCACCCAGCCACCCACCCACCCACCCACCCAGCCGCCCAGCCGCCCCGAAAAATGGCTCGCTGCCAAAACAGAATCGAAACAGAGAGGCTTCGCTTCGCTCGAATCGCTCCTCCAGCTCTTCCAGGAACCCCCGACGCTTCGGCGATGCCTGGCCCAGTTTCCGGACAAAAAAAGGGAGCGGGTGGCTTACCAGCGCAATAGGGGGGGTCTATATGTTCAAAGAGAAGCCCACCCCCCGTTTTTGCTTTCAACGACTATCTGCTAATTATTTAGCACCCAGTTCGCCGACCAAATACAACAACTTATCAGAAATCGGGGAA